CATCCCATCCCATCCCATCCCATCCCATCCCATCCCATCCCATCCCATCCCATCCCATCCCATCCCATCCCATCCCATCCCATCCCATCCCAGTCCTTTAACCCTTTAACCTTTAACCTTGGTTCTCTCACCCTGCAGATAAACCGTCCCCCTGTGAAACTGAACCTCCTCACCTGCCAGGTGCGGCCTCAGGCTGAGGAGAAGAAATGCTTTGACCTGGTGACACGTGAGTGCCTGTGTTGGGGTGTTGTGGCTGGGTGAGATGTTTGACCTGAAGGCAGAGGCTGGGATGGGATCTCTCCCTTTTTGGAGTGGATTTTCCCTCTGAAACACCTTGGCACCCTCTTTAAATGCTTTTAATCTGGTTCTGGGTGTCTCCTAGGCTGCCTTTACAGATGAAGGACTGATCTCTCCAAAGAGATCCAGAAAGCTGAGACTAAAAGAGCTTGTGACAGGGCTCGGGTGATGGGAGAGTGATGTGCAGTGATTTAATTTGTAGTTAAGCAGCTCCTTTGAAGACATTGCAACTGATTCCTGCTGTCCTGGGTATCCCTAAATCGTAGAATCCTAGAATGGTTTAGGTTGGAAGCAACTTTAAAGGCTGTCTTCTTCCACCTCCTCTCCATGGGCAGGGACCCCTTCCACTAGACCAGGTTGCTCCAAGGCCTGTCCAAGCTGGCCTTGAACACTTCAAGGGATGTGGCAGACACAGCTTCGCCCTTTTCACCTTCTCTTCTCTCTCCCCATACCTGCAGACAACAGGACATACCACTTCCAAGCTGAGGATGAGCAGGAGTGTGTTGTGTAAGTGCTACAGCCCGTCCCTCCTCCTCGACATGCCAGATCTTGCTATGCCTTCCCTATCCTTCTCTTCCTCCTCCCTCCTGCCCAGGTGGGTCTCGGTGCTGCAGAACAGCAAGGACGAAGCCCTGAGCAATGCCTTCAAGGGAGACGGGGATAGCGGCGGGGCGGCAGCAGGCATAGGAATGGATGGCGGCGTGCAGGAGCTCACCAGGCTGGTCATCAGCGAGGTGAAGAACATGCCAGGAAACAAGCAGTGTTGTGACTGTGGTGCCTCAGGTATGTCAGGGCCTAGGGTATCCCCCTGCCCTGAGTGTGGGTCAGCTATCATGGGGGTCACAGCATCTTGGTGCTTGTGGTGCTGAGCCCTGCACTGCTCCCATTGCAGACCCTACCTGGCTTTCCAGCAACCTGGGCATCCTGACGTGCATTGAGTGCTCTGGTATCCATCGAGAGCTGGGTGTGCATTATTCCCGCATCCAGTCCCTCACTCTGGATGTTCTCAGCACCTCCGAGCTGCTGGTGAGCTGCTCCCTGAGCCCAGAGGTTTCTGGGCCACTGGGAATCACCCTCTGTGGCTCCCAAACCCCCTGGGCTGCAGGGTTCATTCCTTCTCCATCCTATCTGTCTCCAGTTTGCTCCAGGGCTTGCAAACTTGCCTCAGTTTACCCAGGGCAGTGGTCTGGGCAAGGGGTCTCTGCAAAGCCGTTTGTTAAGTGGGGTCGGCTTGCAGCTCCCCAGGATTTTCTCCCTCCTAAAACAGACTTCCCTTGCTGTAAGAGAGGGTCATCCTGGAAGATGCTGCTCTGGGAAAGTTCTGGGAGGATCCAGTGGATTCCTTCCTTCTGGGATGGGATCTGGCTGGAGCTGGGTGAGTGTGGCCAAGAGGATTTGTGTCCCTCTGTCCCTCTCTCTCCATAGCTGGCCGTTAGCATCGGAAACACCCGCTTCAATGAGATCATGGAGGCCACGCTGCCCGCACAGGACTGTCCCAAGCCCTCGGCCAACAGTGATATGTAAGTCAGGGGCTTGGGTGGGCTGGGAAGAGACGGGGGAGGAGGAATAGGAGTGCATGGTGTGTGCCCTGTCCTYGTCCCCATGCTGCCACTGCCCATCAGCTCTAAGACAGCCCTGGGATGAGGTATCCTGGTGTCATTGCTGGATTGTGGTGGGGATCGGCACCTCTTTGGAGATTTACCCTTAATCCTGATGCTTCAGGAGGAGGCAGAAGCACAGGGCTCCATCCCCATGGCTCCATACCCATCCAAGCCAACTTTCCGGCAGGGCTGCCCGCAAGGAATACATTGTGGCCAAGTACATGGAGCGACGCTTCGTGCAGAAAAGTGGCCGGGATGACCCCCACCGCCTCTGGGAAGCCATTCGAGCCCGTGACCTCCTGGGCCTGCTTCGGGCCTTTGCCGAGGGGCATGACCTAGCCAGGCCCCTGGCCAGCCCTGAGGGTCAGGTGAGCCCTGCACCTGACAGGGAATGGAYTTTTCCTCTCCTGATGCCCGTGCTCGGGCTTGTCCTGAGCTTTGAGCAGGGATGTGCTATTGGGAAAATAAGCATCCTCAGGCGCAGCTTCTTTCACTCCTACTTGTAGGAGATGAAGCATTGTTGAGGCCAGCTCTCCTCTCCCTTCCAGTCTTGGGAGATGAAGCATGCTTGGGTTCAGCTCTCCTTTCCCTTCCATCTTGGGGACGATGAGCGTCTGTGTGTCCAGCACTTGTTTTCCCTCCATTCAGGGGGGAAGATGAGTATTCTTGGATTCAGTACTCCTTTTCCCTTCATCCTGAGGAAGCTGAGCATTCTCAGGGTCATCTCTCCCTCCCATCCCTTGGCAGGATGCAGGTGAGCTGCCACTACACATGGCCGTGCGCCATGCTGACAGATCATCCCTTCCCCTGGTGGACTTCATCATCCAGAATGGGTGGGTCCCCACGTGCTCCCAGTGTTCCCTGCCCCTCTCCCTTACGGGAGGACAGTGCAGGGTGTTTGTGTGTTCTTGAGCCTTGACTTTCCTGCCATTTTCCCTCCACAGGGGAATGCTGGACCAGGTGACACTGGATGGGAACACGGCCTTGCACTATGGTGCGCTCTACAACCAGCCCAACTGCCTCAAGCTGCTGCTAAAGGGCAAAGCCGCTTTCACCACAGGTATGGGGGTTTTGRGGTTCTTTGGTGGGAGTGGTAAGGCTGTAACCTGAATTTGTCTCCCATTTTTCCCTTGGGCAGTGAATGCTGCAGGCGAGACGGCTCTGGATGTGGCGAGGAGGCTGAAGCACAGCGAGTGTGAGGAGCTGGTAAGGTGGGATGGAGGAATGGGGGAGAAGTTCAGCATGGGGAGAGGGGACCACTGCACCTGAGGAGGGCTGGCATGAAGGTGGAGGGCTGCTGAGACCTGTGCCTCCAGTGCCAAGACCCCTGTGGCCTGCCTCATCCTGAAATCCCCCYGACCTCCCCCATTCCTCTGGCAGCTGGAGCAGGTGCAGGCAGGGAAGCTCTCACTGGAAATCCATGTGGACTATGACTGGGAGCCTCCATCAGAGTTCCCCTATGACAGTGAGGATGAGCTGGAGGAGAAGGTACCTGTGAGATGTGGTGGGGGGCCCCCACATCCCCAATGAGGGAGCTGGGGGAGTGCGGACACTTTTGGAGGGATGGTAGCARTGGGACATCCCTGGAGCTGTGTGTGTGCTGACAGGTGAGTCCCCTTCAGCACTCCTTCAAGGGTATGTCACCGCTGGCCACCAGCCCCCTGTCTGCCTGCCCCCAGACCCGCTGGAGCTGCATGGGTATGGACATCACCAACAAGACCTATGAGAGCATCCTGGTGCCCTCGCGCCCTGCACCCCGCCGGGCCCACAGCGAGGAGATCCCCCCCCCACTGCCCCTCAAAAACCCTACACGAGGCAGCTCCCGCCCCAAACATGGCCACAGCCCCACAGGTGAGTCGGAGTGGGGGGTCACCACGGTGGGGCTGTGYCTTCACCCAGAGACCAAGTTTATTGTCCCCATTTCATGTGTTCCCCCAGAGCGCCCTGAACTGCCCCGGCAGGCATCGGAGCCCCACTTCTCTGGGCCAGTGGAGGCACTGGCACCGCGCAGTCTGTCTTGTGCCAGCAGCACAGGAGCCCTGGATGGCACCCTCAGCAGCCGCAGCCCCACCGAGAGCCAGCGGGCAGTGTACTGGGAGACACGCWCTGAGACGGACGCCAGCAGCAGCCGGCGGGGGCCAGAGCTGAGTGCCCCTTCTGGGCAGTCCCTGCCAGGCAGCACGGCCCTCGACATTCCCCCTGTCAAGTTCGGGTACAGATCCTGCTCTGCATTGGGGTTGYGTTTGATGTTGGGGGTATCATTGCACAATGCTGGTGGGTTGGCTTCAACCCACCACCCCCATGGGCAWGGGGCATCCCTGTGGAGCAAAGGGTCCCCACTCTCTGGGGTCTACAAGGAAGTTGATGGTGACCCTGGGATGCAGGGGGAGACAAGGGCAGCTGGGAGGATGCTGGGTTGTCTTTGGAGACAGTGACACAGATTATTTGGGGGAACACCAAGATCCTCTGCAGGTTATCATATAAATTTTTTCTCCCTTTTGGGAAAATATGGTGAGATGGGCTCACTTGAGGGAATATGGCTGCTGGGGACCTTTTCCGTCAGCATCCAATGGGCTGTTGGTGGGATGCAGTCTCATGGAGGGAGCCCTGGTTCCACTGAGACCTCACAGGAAGGACAGGAAGGGGGAAGGCACCAGTAGAGGAGGGGTGACACTTTCCCTGCTGTCACCCACAGCTCAGAGAGCACTCGCTCGTACCGGCGCATCAGCGGCGTGGTGGGCAAAGTGGGGTCGSCTGGGTGCCCCCAGAGCTCTGGTGGCCCTGAGGACCCCGCTCTCAGCAAGATGCTGCCTGTGCCCATGCCCAGGAGATTTGCTCCGGTAGGTGGAATCCTCCTCTCTGCATCCCCAAGCATCCCAGCTCCTCTTATTCTTGGGTAGCAGATGAAGTGATCAGGGGGTCATATCCCTGTTGCTGCTTTTTGGGTGGCCTCGGGGAGGTGYGTCACTCCCTTTTCACCCCATTTCAGGCCAAGGGGAGGCAGAAACGGGTGAAGGCAGTGGCAGACTGCAAGGGGGACAAGGCACGAGAGCTGACCTTCTCCAAGGGGGAGGTCATTGTGGTGACACGGGAGGAGGATGAGCAGAGCTGGGTGAGTCACCATGGCATAGACAGGTGCTGGGATCCCAGTCCTGGTCCTTTTCCCCCTCCAGTTCTCTTCTGAAGGACACTGAGTTTTTCTGGGGGTCATGGACTGGGGACCTGTGCCCCATGTGTGCATGGTGGAGGGCTGGGAGGGCTCCACTGATGTGTCACATCAACTTCGCCTCTCTAAATCCATGTTGGAGTTGGGCAGGAGAGAAGTTTTGGGGCTTGATGTCTCAAGATAAGACTGCCGCCCCCTGAACCCTCTCTCTGCATCCCCAGGTTGGCTTCATCGAGGGTGACGGCTCCCGCACTGGAGTCTTCCCCGCCAGCTTCGTCCACCTCTTGCAAGATTGACCAGCGGGAGGTAGCCCATTTGTTACTSTCCCCTTGTCTGGGACTAGAGGCTACTCCCTGCTGGGGACTTGGTAGAGCCAGACCACAAGGGACATGTGCCAGGACCCATGCATGCTCCCATTGCTCTCCCAGGGGGGCCCAGGGATTCCCCGCATGGGGAAAACCATCCGTCAATGGCAGCAGTGGGGAGCTGAGGGGCAGAGAATGGACGTGCTCACTGCATTGGTGGGCTGAGGTTTCTGTGCCAGCTCCTGCTCCCACTGCTCTTCCGTCCTTCCTGTGGGCTCTGCCCACCCCTAAGGTTTTCTTCTTCCTTCTGTGTAAGGAACTGGGAATGCAGGAGCTGTATTTGGTGTCCCTCACCCTCTGCCAGGTAGTCATGAAGCCAGCTCCCCATCCTGAGGGAAGCTGTAACCCTGAGCTTCCTTCTGTACCCCAACTGTGAAGCCTTTGGTATGGGCAAGAAATAGGAGAGGGTTTTTTTTGTGTCATCCCCCACCCCAGGCTCTGGGAGCTGCCTCGGCTGGTGTGGCTTGGGATGCTCTAAAGCTTCCCCAAATCTGGTAGCAAAATGCCAGTCCGTGATTTGGAGGGGGAGGAAGAATGTTTCAGGTGGTACCACAGAGCCCCTGCCCCATGTGCCTCATCTGGCGTGGGTGCTGGATCACTGCCCTGGCTCTGGAGGGCTCTCAGACAGGGTTTTGCAACTTTCTCTAGGATCAGGACACCCCTATGCCAGTCTCCCTTGTGAGCCACCTGCCTCCATATCCCCTCAATTTACCCTTTTCATTTCTGTGTCAAATGTTTCATCTCAAAAAAAAAGTCTTTTTTATTTAATGTTTTCTGTCTCTGGTTTCTAATAAACTGTCTCTTTTTTTAAGCATCTGGGTGTGTATGGGGAGCACAGCCCCTGACCTGGTATGATTATGTATCCCCAAGGCTTCCAGTCGCTGGCATCTGTGATCACCCCTGGGGCAGGGCTGGGACAGGGGAACTTTCCCAGTATGATGGGATGGATCCAGAGTGGGATGCTAGTCCTACAGCCATCCTGATGGGTGCTGGAGCAGGGACAGGCAAGGATGGCAAGGTTGTTGTCACCCATGCATCCCAATGGCTACCCATCCAGTCAGTCCTGAGGGGCTCCTGGCTCCCATCCCAGTCTGGCACACCATCAGCCCAGGCCTCAGCAGGGTTCTGCTGCGCTTCAAAGACTGTGGGACACGTTGGTGTGTCATTTGTCACTGCACAATCATGGAATGTTGGGAAGGGACCTTAAAGATCATTCCTTCCACTCCCTGCCTTTGGGGGGACACCTTCCACTAGACAAGGTTGCTCTGAGGCTGTCCAACCTGACCTTGGGCACTTCCAGGGATGGGATATTTTCAGTGCCAAAATACTCCAGTATGTGGAGTATTTCAATATAAGAACTATTCCTATATTCCGCATATATAGGAATATTCCAATACATGGAGTAGAAAGATTATTCCCCTGGGAATCTTGCTGCTGCAGGACGTCAACTAGAGGAAGGGCAGAGCTTGCGGCATGCTGCATTGTACCCGTGTCACTCACGATTCCCTGGCTAAGCTGTCCTGGCGGCAAAGCCCCATCTGGGGCCAGTCCCTCGGCACCCCGGGCTCCTCGTGGCCCCCTCAGCTGCGTGTCCCGGAGCGCCCCAATGTGTGCCTCCCGGCTCCTGCAGTCGTGGCTCGGCTATATTTAGCCCTCCCCCCGTGCTATTTTGCCTTCCTGGCAGGAGTTTATAACTGGCTGGGACAGCCCCACCTCCTTTCTGCTTTCTCTCCCTTCCCTTTCCTCCTTCCCCCCCCTTCTCTGCTCCCTCCCACCTGGCTGCCCGGGACCCCCATGCCAGCAGTGCCCCGCTGTGCCTGTTGCCACTGTCCTGCCTTGCTGGAGCTCCCGGCATGGGGCCTGCCGAGGAGCTGGTCCGGATTGCCAAGAAATTGGACAAGATGGTGGCCAGGAAGAGCATGGTAAAGTGTCTGAGCTCCTCGGGGCATATTTACACACGTGTGTTTGCACATGTGTGTATTTATACACAGGCATATTTACGTACGTGCCTATTTATACATGTGCATATTTACATGCATGTTTGAATGTTGCCGCGTGGCTTGGGAAAGGGGGAGGGGGGTTTACTGTTCACACCCCTCATGTTGTGTCTGGAGGGGCTGAGTGGATTTAAGAGGTGCTGCCTGTGTCACCCAAGCCCAACCTCAGGATATCAGAGTCAGCACCCAGGGGATTTAATTTTGCCTCTAATTTGGGACTCTCCTGCACCCCATTGCTCCCAGAYATTGGGATTTGGGGATGAGGGGGGTTTGTCCCAAGGGTGGCAGCTCTAGACGCTGCTCAGCAGCACCAGACTGTCGGCAACAGGTGTTTGGCCCCTGGCCTGCTCAGCAACATCCGACCAGGGCCAGGGGCACGGGCCTGCACACGAGCAAGGGAAAGCTCTGGGCTGGGGTACATAATGCCCCCAGCCCCACGGGCGTGCAAAGGAAGGGGAGGGGTCAGTCGCTGTTTCCTGGGTTGTTTTGGTGGTTGTATGCTGGGTTGTTTTGCTGGGCGAAGCCAGGATCCACTCCTGCCACCCTTGTGCCGAGTGAAGATCCATCCTGGAATCCTGGTAAGCCAGTTATGTGTGCCAAGAGCAGCCCTCAGAGTTAATATTTGACCGTTTCCACTGGCCTTTGCCCCAACAAGGTGCAGGATCCTGGCCAGGGGGGCAGCACTGCCATCTCTCTGGATCTGATTGCTTTTTGGGATACCAGCCAATGCTTGGTATCCATCCAGATCCCATGGCTCTGCTTCCTGCTGGGAGGTACATAGAGGTCAAGGGACAGGGATGCTCCACACCTCTCCTGCTGCACTTTGCCAGGGTCCAACTACAGCACAGGAATGTCCCTGCACCCATCAAACCAGGCAGGGTCTAATCCAGCCCCTCATGGTGGGAGTCCATGGAGCTGGGTCCATGTGGCGGGGGATACCTGGGAGCCAGTGTCTGCTGCTGGGACTATAGAAATACCAGGGAGAAGGATGAGGAAGAGAGAGGGCAGGGGGAAGGCTCCATGCTGGACTCTCTTTAGCCCAGTCATTACTGCAGGAGACCAGGATGAACTCCTGGGGCTTGTGTCCCATGGACCCTCACACCCCTGGGTGGGGGACAATGGGGGTGCTCCCAGCCATCCTAGCTCCCAGCAGCCCAGATTTGTCTAGTGGATGGGGTTTTCCCAAGTTTTAAGAACAGCTCCCACTACCTAGCTGGACACATGACCTGGTACTGGGATGGTCCAGCAGGATTTGGGTGTGGGACTTTTCTATCGGTGTGTTGACACAGAGGGTCAAGCATTCGCAGGGGGCAGCTCAGGGCTGCTTTGGGTTCTTTTGTCATGCCCTTCCTTGGTGCTGCCTAGTGCTTCCTCAAGGACTCCTGTGGTTTCTCCCCTGCTGCAGGAAGGGGCGCTGGATCTGCTCAAATCCCTCAGCAGCTACACCATGACCATCCAGCTGCTCCAGGTGAGGGGGTTTGGGTGGGGGGACACACCRTGGGAATCACGCCCGCACATCCCTGAGGATGTGGCCCTGGTATGTATCCCCAGACAACACGGATCGGTGTGGCAGTGAACTCAGTGCGGAAACACTGCTCAGATGAAGAGGTGGTCGCCTCAGCCAAAATCCTTATTAAAAACTGGAAGCGGCTTCTGGGTGAGTGATACTGGGGGGAGGCAAGAACCCCCCAAAGCCTTAATTTTCCTTGGGCCATCGCCACACCTCAAACCCTAATGCTTTCTAGGGGGATGGAGTGGGATCTGTCCAGAGCTGGGATATGCAGGTTCAGTTAACCTGTAACCCAGATGCATGGATTTGGATTTTCCAGGGGCTTGTTCTCACTTCAGGACAGAGTGGTAGAAATCAGTGTGTGCCCCACCAAGGGCTGAGCACCTCCACAATCATTCCCCACCTCAGGAAGCAGCTCTGCAGGTACCCTGCGCTGGTTTTGGATGTGACTGTGACACCCAAATCCTTCCCCCAGAGTCTGCCACCACAAAGAAGGAGAAGGACGCATRTGGAGACAAGGAGAAGGACACAGAAGGAAAAAAGGAGAAGAAGAAAGGGCTGGATGTTTCCTGCTGCCCCAATGAGGATGTGAAGCATGGCAAGAACACGGCTGAGAAGCACAGGGAGAAGCGCAAGGAGAGGTGAGGGTTTCAGCCTGCTGCCAGGGGGTACCAGGGCTGATAGGAGACCACCTTCTCCTTGGTCCTTAAGAATTTAATCATCTCTGCCTACCCATGGATGGCGGCAGCACCTCTGGAGACCAAACTGCCTCTGGGGGAACACCAGGGTTCTTTCTGGAGGAGAAATGGCAATTTTTAATTTTCACTTCTCTAAAGCTAATTATTCCTTTGATGAGGTCAATTTGGACAGTACTCATCTAACCACATTCTGATCTCTCTGTCCCTAGGAAACCCAGAAAGTCTGACTCTCCTGCCATCACCACCCAGGCCCACTCTGCCAGTTCCAGGCTGGAGAGGTACCTGCAAAAGGAAACCCTGACCCTCACGCTGGGCTCTGCCAAGCACTGCCAGCCCAGGGGAGGCTTTTCTGGCAGCCTAGGGGTGGTGGGGCTCAGAAATGGGGGATGCAGATGGACAGGACTCAGCTCACAGGTTGCCAGACTATCCTGGAGTTGCTGAGAGCATCTCTCCCTTCCTTTGGGCTTCTGTGGTGAAGAGAGTCGGGTGATGGCCGGAGCCCCACTGTGTCCTTTAAGAAATCACCTCAGGATGGCAAGAAAGAGAGGTCGGTGCTGGGCTGGGYGAAGATGGCAGAGGCCAGACCCCAGCCCCTCACTGGGCTATGGGTGGTGTTGTGGACTGGTCCCAGTTGCTGCCTTCTGACATGGGGCTTGGTCCTGCCAGGAGAGCCTCTGCTGACTCCAGGGCCTCAGCTGTCTCCTCCTCTTCCTCCCCACGGAAGAGACTGTCAGGGGAGAGGTAAGGAGGGGGTGTCCCCGGGCAGCCTGGGGTTGCTTTTAGGGTACCCCTTGGGGATGCCCTCACCATGGAGGGGGTAAGAAGTGACTGGGAGCCCTGATCCTGCCATGGCACTGGCATATTCCCTGGGAGGAGAAAAGACTCCCTGGGGAGATTCCTGTTGGCTTCTGAGCACCCTCATTGATTATCTGGTGCCTGAGGTCCTGCCACCAGTCTCTGCCCCCTGTCCTGCTTGTCCCATCTCTGGTGTCATCCCCACTGTCCCATTCCGTGCCATTCCCAGGAGAGCATCTGTGGGCGCCAGCCTCTCTCCAGCTCCCACCGGCTTCTGGAGAAACTCCAGTGACAGCAAGGAGGAAAGGTAGGTGAGAGGAAGAAAAGTAGAAGAGACTCACTCCACTTCCAAAGGACCCTGGCAGGTCCCTGCAGTGGTGCCAGGAYCCTGCCACCTGCCTGTCCCTCTCCATGTGCCCCCACAGAACCAACAGCAGCAAGGCCAAACCTGAGACGCCACGGACCCCCACCAGTCCCTCCTTCTTTCCCAGCCCCTGCTGCCTGGCCCCCTGCTATCTCACAGGGGACTCAGTGCGGGACAAGTGCATTGAGATGCTGACTGCTACACTCCGCATGGACGGTGAGCAGTTCTGGGGGTGCTGGACCCCAGACTGGGCTGTTTCTCTTAYGGGACAGCCCTAGTAGGAGCATTCAGCTCCAAAAATAAGGAAAAGGAGGTTGGTAAGGTCTCTGATAAGGGGGTTGGATGTGAGGATGCATCTTTGTAAGGTTCAAGATAGGGTAAAAAAATAGGTATTTTAGAGATGGAATGTCTGGGATAAGTACAGGGGAAGAGGTGAGATTTTTGTGGGGAGGTACAGTGAGACCTGGCTGGTTTCACACCTGAATGTTACCCCTTGACCTCTCTACCCTTTAGATGACTACAAGGAGTTCGGTGTCAACTGCGAAAAGATGGCATCAGAGATTGAAGACCATATCCTTTGGGGGGCTAGGGGTCTCCAGGCTCCATCTGCTGGGGGGGCACACGTGGGCTCAGGAATGGTGCTGGGGACAGGACAGAGCSTGATCTGGAGGGTTGCAGGCTCTGCCGTGCTCGTTCCTGCAGAGGGAGCCCAAACCACGGTTAGAGGATGCTGAGGCTGAGGTGATGGTGAGCAAAGCATCCCCTGAGCACCCGCCTTCGTGCGGGGGTCTGTATGTCTCCCCCACCTGTGCCCTCTGGTCAGGGATCTTTCATCCCTGGGGAAATGAATCCAGCCAGAGTCTTTTCCTTGAGCCTGCTGTGGATGCCTCTGTCTCCTGCCAGACCCAGTCTGTCACAATGTACAGGCTGTGCCATGCTGGCAGGGATGGAGCCATCTCTGCCCACCCCCAACTCAAGTCCTGTGGTTCTCCTGGCAACCCCCTGAGACCGGGACCAACCCCAGGGTAGTTCCCCTCCTGGTGCACTTTTCGGTGCATCCCAAGCTCTGTGCCCAAAGCTGCCACATCAACCTGTCCATATCCATGTTCTTTGGGAGGAGGGAGTGGACTGAGTCCTCTGCAACATGAACTTTTGTCCCAGCACAGAGCTCGGTGACAGTCCCTGAGACCCACAGTCTCTCCTGGATGTAGACATTCCAAGGCAAAGCAAAGCTACCTCCCCCCCCACCCCCCATCTCAAGCTGCCATCTCTTAAAGCCAAGGATGGGGACRCATCCCCCAGGGAGGAAAGCCCCACTGAGATTAGCCACCTCCATGTGGCCGTTGGCCTTGGTGACAGCATGACACAAGCTGGCATCCCCCCACCTTGCCTCCTTGATTCCTTGACAGACTCCACATATCTTCCAGGAGCTGAAGAGCACGGACATGAAGTATCGCAACCGGGTGCGGAGCAGGATCAGCAACCTGAAAGACCCCAAGAATCCCAGTCTGCGGAGGAACGTGCTGTGCGGGGCCATCGAACCCAGCCTCATCGCTCGCATGACCGCCGAGGTGGGCAGTGGGGTGTGTGGGGCTGGTGCCCATGGATCACATCCATGCTGTTTCTGTGGTGCCCAAGTGCCGGGCCTTGCCTTGGTGCTGTCCAAAGCAGGCTGTCCCTGTTCCACCCCCGTGCTGGATGGGGCACAGGGAGCATCAGGAGAAAGCGGGCAGCACTGCCCAGTCCCCTCAGAGCCTTGCAGACCCCCAGCCCATCACAGAGCTGTGGGATGTCACACTGGCAGGAATCAGGCTGGAGAGTCCCCATTTGTCCTCCTCAATCAGGGACCACAAATCAATCTCTTCAGAAGCCCAGTTTCTGCTGTGGGGAGACGGATCCCTTCAGGTAGCAGCTTTACTTTCAGCATGGGGTGTTTTCTTCATCTGGATGGGTCTGAGCCCTCCAGCAAGCACAGAGAGCAGGATCAGTCCTGGTTTGGGAGAGGACAGGGAAGGTGTTGGACTGCGGTGCTTGGCTGTGAGCAGAGCCATGGCCACACTGACCCATCTGGGCCAATGCTGGTGGCAGGAGATGGCCAGTGATGAGCTGAAGAAACTGCGGAATGCCATGACCCAAGAGGCCATCCGGGAGCACCAGATGGCCAAGACGGGCGGCACTGTCACCGACCTCTTCCAGTGTGGCAAGTGCAAGAAGAAGAATTGCACATACAACCAGGTCAGGCCTGGTCCCCAGGGGATCCTGGCTTGGGGGACACCACAAGGGTCTCCGCTGACCTGGTGCTGCTCCACCCCAGGTGCAGACACGGAGCGCCGACGAGCCTATGACAACATTTGTGCTGTGCAATGAGTGTGGGAACCGCTGGAAGGTCTGTAACCAGCTGGGGAGAGGCTCTGGGCAACCCAACCCTTTCCTAGCCTCCAGGGATGGCAGAGCCCCCTGAATTGGTGCTTTAGGGCTCRGTGAGGGCTCACACCCTGCTCTGGGCTTTGCTTCTCCTGCAGTTCTGCTGACTCTGCYGGCGGTTTGGCTGGAGGGAACATGGTGCCATACAAGATGTTGTGACGCCACATTGGGCAGCTGGTGTGGGGAAGAGAGTGGCAGGGTGGCATCAGTCCCTAAACCCCAGGTCCTTGTTCCTTTGCATTGGGCTCCCTTGAATATTCTGGGCAACTGGCCTCTGGCAAAGTCAAGTTTGCTCGAGAGGGTCCCTGTGAATTCAGTGGTTCTTCCCTGTAAATATCTGTCCTTTTCTTGGGCTGCACTGGGATCCCACTGGGAACAGACTCATTCCTGGAAAGGGAGACTGGTACAACACGAACAGCATGTCCTTCCCTGAGAGAAATCTGCATTTGGATGATTTTTGGGCAGGATAAACACTGCTCCATGGACACAGGGCTATGCCTGGGGGTCTGACGGTGGGAGAGGGCCAGGTTTAACCCAAACACCTTCATCACCTAAATGTACACAGAGGGAGGACATGGAGGACACAGGGTGGTTGCAGTGTGTTCAAATGGTGTTGGGATGCCACCATGCTATGTGACAAATTTACCATCCATCCTGGCTTGAGGGCACTGTGTCCTAGGAGAGAAGGAAGGATGGCAGGAAGAGGAGTGAGGAAAAATCCCTCCAGCCAGAGCAATAAAGGTGTGAACCATCTCTGTAGCACAGACTGTTTCCTAAGGTGGGTCTGGGACCTCTGCCTCAGTTTATAGCTCCCCAGCTTGAGCCTCAAGATCCCTCACCGAGCTTCAGCATGTCTCATATCCACCAGCCCCAGCTTGGGATAGAACTATGGCTTGATGTTCATCCATCACTTGACTGGTGATTAAAGACCTTTACTTAAGGCTGGAGCAGCTCTCTGGCTTGGTCTGGGTTGCAGGCTGCCCCATGTCAGGGCAGAACCTCCACCAACAGCTGGGAGGGCTGTCCAGGGAAAAAGCATCAGGGACCAGCTGGGAGGCATTCCTTTGGCTACTGGAGTTCTGGGATGGAGGCTTCTGGCATGGAGACCATCCCTCGTTACCACCAGCCTCCTCCAGTGACAGTGAGGTGTGGTGAGGACATAGGAAGGTCATGATGACCGTGGTGACCATGGATGGGATGAGGATGCTGCTCCCATGCCTGCATGAGCCAAAGGGTGAGAGCAGAGAAGGATGATGGAGCTGTTAATGAACCCATCACTAATATTTTAATCTTGGGCTGAGGTGTGAATTTTTTTCTCAGGCAGTGCTGTTTGCACCCAGACTTGGGTGCTAAACCCTTGGTGTCAGGGGGTCCCTGCTACCCCAGAGCCCCTTGAGAGAACTCTCTGGGCTGTGATGCTTGTTAGTATGCTGAAGTGATTAATGAGCTTCCAAGGCAATTATTAATGTTTGTGAGAGTGCATGTGGCTGCAATTAAGAAATATAGTGGGTTGTAGGAGATGAATAAAACATTAGCATGACCTTGAGCTGTGAGTGGAGTGCAAAAGGGGCAGGACTGGGGATCCTGGCTGTCCCCAGGGTAACACAGGACACATTTGCCAGGACAAGGTTGAAACAGGGATTTAGACCTATTTTTTTTWATGTTTTTTTTGTAGTGCAGTCCAGTAGAGGTGTTTGGGTGATACCAGAGGGAGACAGACTCCAGACACAGTCTGATGGATCTCCTAGCATCCCTCTCCRTACCTTTCTGTCCCTCAGTGGACATGTCCCCAGGGAAAATGTCACCCTGCTCCCCCTCCCATGATTTTCTGGGAAATCCCAGAGAAGGAAAGGGAGAAGCAAACTGGAGAGCTGGGAGAGCAGGGGCTCCCCTGATGTCCATGCAGGGATATGCATCCCCATCCCTCCCTCTCCCCACTGGGAGAGTTTTTCCACTTGCCTGGGCTGGAGGAACTCATGGTCCTGAGGAATGCTCCAGCCTCGGGGCGGGGGGACGATGCAGGATGTGTCCCCCTATGGCACAGCAGGTGCCTCTGGGGCAGGGGACAGTGAGGGCTCTGGTATGCAGCTGTGTACAGGCTCCATTCCACAGGCTGAGCTTCTGACCTGCTCCACGGGATTTCAAAAATCCAATTCCCAAATTGGGAACTGAGTCCCCCAGGATATCCTGCCATCCCTTCCCCACCCCTAAGCTCCAGGGGTCCCCGGAGCTTTCCCCTCTCTTCTCTCCAAGTGATGGTCTCCTCTTCCCCTCCACATCCCCCAGCCTGGTGAGGAAGAGGAGCAGGAAAGATCCCTGGCAGCTGCCTGTCCTGCCAGCACTCAACTCTCTCTTGAGCTCTGAGGAAGTGGGCACTTCAGTTCTTATTTCTTATCAGTGCTGGAGACGTGAAACCATGGCTGCACCAAAAAATGTTAATGCTGGCCTCCCGTGCCTTCTGCAGGCAGGAGGCTCAGACCAGGGCCCTCAGGGCCTCTCTCACAGCCCCCACCTTGGGCTGGTCATCACCATGCAATGATGGAGAGGCCCTCCATGGTCCCTGCCAGGGGACCCCGAGGCTCCAGGTCTGGATGCTCCAAAGCTTCAGCAGAGGCTGGTGCTTCTTTCTGCCTCTCCCTCCATGAATTAAAGAATCATTTCAGTTGCAAAAGACCTCCATGATCTGTCCAACTGCTCCCCCAGCACTGACAAGGCCACAACTAACCATGTGTGCCCAATGCCACATCCACACACCTTTTAAATCCCTCCAGAGATGATGACTCCAATGAGATAGTCTTCCATCAGATGGAGATTTTATATTCAACCTCCAACCTGTAACACTTTAAACAACCCCACAGAGTGTCCCATCCCAGCCATACTTCCCCATGAAGAAAGGTACCTCACAGGAAGTGCACCATCCCACTACTGGTGCCACCAGACCACATCCCTTCCCCAGGGACTGCTGTGAGCAACCTCAGGGACACCTTGTTCCACAGGATCCAGTATATGGCTGGTTTTACTTCGCAATCCCAGCTTGCCCAGGGGTGATCCCCCACTGTACTCCAGCCTCACCAAGCTCGCTTACAGCACAGGGCTTTGCTGCTGCCCTTCTCCCCCACATTTTTTCAGCCTTGACAAAAAAATCAGCAGTTTGCTGTTCTGTGGTTTCCTTGGTAACCCCATTTCCCCATCCTCTTGTTTTATGCATGTATAACCTCCCCCAGCCCTGGTCACCAACCCCCAAAGCACAGTGGCAGGTCCTTGTGCACAGGGATGGAGCAGGAGGTGGTGTGTCCTGTTCACCATCAGGACGGCTGATCCCAGTGGGACCCTCGACAAGGGCTTCCCAAGCACTTGTACTTCTTGGAAAGGGAATGGAGCAGCTGGTGGTAGTTCATGTCTGAGTTGAACTGAACTGAATTAAAGCAGTTTTGGAGCCAGTCTTTACTGCTCCATGAGGGTTCTCGTGCTCCTGCTGTGCACAGGTTACCCAGAGAAGCTGTGGCTRCCCCCATCCTTGGAGGTGTTTCAAGCCAGGTTGCACGGGGCTTGGAGCAACCTGGTCCAGTGAAAGGTGGCCCTGCCCAAGGCAGAGGGTCGAATGAGATGAGCTTTAAGGTCTCTTCCAACCCAAACCATCCCATGATTCTGTGACTGGCAGCCTCTGTGACAGACTGAGTCGATTCCCTTGCTTCCAATCAGTAAGTAACAATCCCTTAGGCACAGGTACTCACTGTCTCCCCAGGCCTCAAACCCATATGCAATATTTTTCTGGTGACAGACTCAGGCTCTTGGCACGACTCATTTTGCCGTTTTCAGTAGACAGGATACTGATCTCCTGGGAAAACCACTGTGGCCAGCACAGAGCCCATCACCTCGCCTCTGCATCACAGCTGCTCCCACAGATGATGTCCCCGGTGTGATGCTCAGCACGGTGGGCACAGGGCAAGGGGCCAGCCCTGCGCAGGAATTGGGCTGCTTTCCTTTAAAAAGCAAGAAAATGCAGCATTGGATGCAGGGTTTTGGGTCTGCATTCCATAGGAGTGATTGTCAAAGGATGCAGCAGCGTTGTGGTCTCTCAAACACCTGGAGGAACCAGGCAGGGGTGTCTAGCAGGACACTCCAGGCACTGAATGGCACACAAACTGAAAGCACTGAAATAGAAGGAAAAAATTGCTGAGTCTCTCAGCGCTGGTTCCAGCCCCAGATTGGGATACAAATGGAATTTCCTTTCTCTTTCATTGTTCTGCCTTGATGTGAGTCAATAAACTGCTTTGGCGAAGCTCTGGAAAAATCAGTGATTGCCCAAGACAGCCACATGACCCAGTCTCAATCTTCAGACAAGCCAAAATACTCGGAGCAAAGTCAAGAATTTGAGCTAACTGGATATTTCCTTTGGAATGTTTTTCCTGAAAAAAAAAAAAAAAAGAAGGTAGGAAAATCAGTTTTCATCTGCAATGTTTGCAGTCCACTGGAAGGAAATGATTCGTTGAGGTGTATGGCTGCAATTCGGCAGCCCAGGCTTTGTGATGATTAAAAGCATCAGAAGAGTCCAAACTGGACCCAAACCCTTATTTCTAAAGTGAAACATGTTGCATGGAAAATTACAGAATATACTTTTCTTAAAGAAAAATCCCGTGCACTTTTGTTTCCTGGCTTGAGAGGTTTGCTGAGTCTGCAAAGCACTTTGATCTCAGCCTTCCTGAAATCACAGTGCTTGGCACAGRCCATTTTTTCCCCCCTCCTTTAGCTGAATAGGCAGAGAACTAGCAAAGATCACCCATTAAAAGCAAAAATCTGTCCACAAAATACATTTTTTTTCTCACTTTCAGCTAGAATCATGCACGGTCTTCCCTCTTACAGCCAGAATGAAGAGGATGTGAGGGAAAAAAATCCCCAATAAATGCTATAAAACCCCCCAAACTCCCTCAAACCACACAAATTCCCATCTCTGTGCTTCCCACATTAGTAGGTCGACCTAAATATGACAGAGGRAAAAAAAACCACATTGGCTTTTTCGCCTGACACTTATTTTTCTCCCTGTCAGGAGCTCTCGGGCACTTGGCAATTAGGAGCTGCAGATTAATCTGAAGTGATATAATGAAGTGCCAGGCAGCTGGAGGACAGAGCTGGGAGCTGGTGAGCAGGGGTTGGGAGGGGATATTGTTCTACAGATTAACATGGTTTAGGACGGGTTTAGTGCAGGTAGAGCACCCAGGATGATGGGAAGGAGGAGGGGGCTGGAAGGCTCAATGAGATATTCAGGCTCATTCCCAACCCCTGATCCTCTGCATCCAAACTTATGGACCGGGCAGGGCTTGTATTGCAGAGGAAAAATTATCTTTGCACATTTTCAAAACCTAATTTASTTGTAATGTCCCCAAAGTGTCTTTCCACCTGCTTTGCAACATCCCAGAGTCTCCCAGCTGCAGTGAATTATTTATTGAGGAAAAATGTCCCAGGGGAGCAGGCTGGATGGTTCCCAACATCTTCCCCTAGCTCTATCTGTACCTCCTTTCACAGAGTCATAGAATCACAGAGTTGTTGGAGTGTGAGGGGTCCTCAAAGTTCGTCCAGTTCCCCCCCTGCCATGGGCAGGGACACTTTCCACTATCCCAGGTTTCTCCAAGCCCTGTACAGCCTGGTCTGGAACACTTCTGGAGATGGGGGAACTGCAGCTTCTCTGGGCAATGTGTGCCAGGGCCTCACAACCCTCACAGGGAAGAATTCCTTCCAAATATTCCTTCTAAACCTGCCCTCTGGCAGTGGGAAGCCATTCCCCCTTGTCCTGTCACTCCAGACCCTTGTAAATAGTCTCTCTCCATCCTCCTTGTCAGTTCCTTCAGGTGCTGGAAGACCACAATTAGGTCACCTCAAAGCCTCTTTTCCACTCTGAACAACTGTCAGCCCAACTGTCTCAGCTCTTCGTCTTTTCTCCAAGGTGCCCAGAAGCCTGAAAGTCAAGAGCAGCTGTCAGGTACCTAGGTCCACATTCTTCCAACAAACTGCCTCATCTTTCCAAAATGAGAATATAAATCGCTCCTCCTGTAACGACACCATTACGCTGGAGCTGTGCCACCAGTGCCAGCCACTCACAGCAAAACCATTACCCACAGCAGCCAATTTATTCCCGACTCTGGAAGGGTCAGCAACCATCAGGAAGCAAATGCTAGTTACTAGCACTGTGCAAAGCAGCCTGGCCCGGCATGGTGTGTAATTAGGGAGCCAACTGCACCCGCCACAGTGACAGGGCTGTGGGGAAAGGGGCTATGGAGCAGCCACCAAGGAGGCACCTGCTGCAGCTCCCGACTATAACTCAGGATCAGGGCACTAACTGAATTGGAGACGTGTGTGTCACACTGCCATCAGGAAGGCTGTGACATTCTGCACGTCCCCACATCCTTCTGATCTCTACACCACCCTCCCTAGTCCAGTGCCCATCCCTGCTGTCCCCTCGACGTGATCCCTCTGCTCAGCTGTTTTGCAGGTAAAYGTGACATTTCCTTGGGACAGAAGAGATGTTTGGAATATGAAAACTCCAGGTGGTGGGAGATGCAGAACCCAGGGAGATATCATGTGCTAATGCCCTTACATCTCTGCTGCGGTGAGTCATCCAGGCCCTCTGAGGATCCCGACTGTGCTTGGATACGGAGAAGGTAGAAGCACAAGGCAAGAGTTAAAATTGCTTTGCTCAGAAGATATCTTGGTTACAGCAAGGAATAAAAATTGTCCCCTTGACACCCACCCCCTGYTCTGGCCCCACAGGCACAGGGAGGAGGGATGTTGTGCTGTTGAGTGGGTAAGATGGGCCTCATTTATCAGAGAAATGGAAACAGCCAAGACAGATGGGAGCAGGCACCTGATGGTATCATGCTACAAACTGAAGCAAAGCAAGCACTGACAAAGGGCTGCAGGAGGAATCCCTGGAGGTAACTGCATTGGGGGGGCATCAACAGGAATGTTCATCACCAACCAACAAGTGATGCTGAGCTTTTGGGGATGAGCCCGGCCCCAGTGTTGAGCCATCCATCACCCTTCCTGACACAGGATTCCTTGAACAACTCCTGCCTTCAGGACTTGCTGAGAATCTTCAAAACCTCCCAGGATCCTGTCATAGACCTGAGCATCACTTCAGGACCTGCTGCCTGTGGGCCCACACTGTGAGGGGACATGCTGGTCGCTGTCCTGCTCCACAGTCAGGCTGCTGCCCTGCCCAAGCTAAGCATAGGATAAGGAGAGCTCCTAGATAACCTGCAAAAGAGCCTCAATCACATGTTTAAACCCCCCCGTAACCACCACTGCTCTGATGCCATTGCTTCCCTGGGCTCCACATCTTGACTCCTCCTGGCAGGGAATGGCTGGCACAAAAACAAAGAGCTGGGTGGGAGCTGATGCTCTTTTCTGCCGCTCCTGATACCTTCAGGTCCAAAGCACCCAAATCTCAATCCTTCAGCCCCAAACCAAACCTGATCCAAAGTTTCCTGTGCTTTTCCACCAGGTTTCCACGGAAAGGAGGTTTTTTTGTCCTCTCCCAACTCCAAATCAAATCATCCTATGGACTTTTGAAGGAGCATGAACAAGCAGAGGAAAGAACTGGGGTCTCRGTCCAGAGCAAGAGGCACTGAAGTTGTGCTTTGTGATTTGGCACTTAGAGAGCAGCAGGATTGTAGCTGACCTGGATTCCCAACATCAAAGACAGCACCCACTTCCTCCCCAGCACCTCCAGAACCCTCCAAGGAGGTGAATCAAGGAGCTGAACAGCCACGTGTCCATCCCATCCTGGCACTGGCACCCAGGAGTACAGGTGATGGAAAGAGCATCCCCCTGCACTGTGGCTCACAGCTAAAAAGCTGTAGAAAAATGTAAAATTTATGTGCTGAGAAAGAAACCTGCCTCCTCCATGATCAGAGGGTTGAAGGTGGTCCAGGGGGTTTAAGCCATGTCTGGCCCATCTGGCTGGCACAGCGATAGACAATGACAAATCTCATGTCAGACTCATAGAAGGCAAACAAACAGACCTTATTGCTCAGAAAACCTGGCCCTGACACTCTTCCCTGTCCCTTGATAGTGCTACATGTGCCCATGACCACAGGTTCCTTGGCCCTCCAGCATGCCACGACTAGCCCCAGGCACCAGGACACAGAATCCCCATGTCTCAGTCTCAAAGGACCTGCTCCCTGTCCAGGAAAACCCAGGCCTAGCCCCTCGGGGAGCCCAGGGGTCACATTGATACAAATTCCTTTCAACAGCAGCAAAAAGCTTTATTCTTGCAGCCTGGCTCTGTCTGGGAGCAGCATCCTGCCCTGGATCCCCCCCTCCCCATGATGGTTCATTTATGAGATGACTCACAGGTTGTTAATGCTCCCGACGCGCATGGGATGCAGGCAGCGCTGCCATCTCCGAGTGCCAGCTGGGGTGGGTCACAGCCCGGGCTCCCAGCTCCCCAAAATCCAGGGAGACACTGTGTGTTCCCAATCAATGCTTCATTGTCAGACAAAGGCAGCCCAGAGCGGCGCCAGGGGATGGTGAAAATACCCAAATATGCAACAATCAGGGAAAAAGGCTCCTGTAGGGATTGAGTTCCCTGGGGATGGGGTGTGATGCCCATCCTTCCTTTGCCACCAGCAGGCTTGGTACCCACGAGCCATTTGCTGTTACTGTCCCTGTCCCCATCACAGCCATGGGGCCAGGCAGAAGCCTGGGTGAAGGAAAAGGGCTCATTAACCCCTCCAATAAAATAATTATTTTTGAGTAATTTTTCATGGAAAAGGAAGAACCACCCAGTAATTGTAAGGGCCACTGGTGCCCCCAGCCCTGGGTGGGAGCAACAGGCTTGGGGCAGGCTAGCACTGTCACCAGCTTTGAGCCTGGCAGGGGCATAGTCCCTCTCTTGTCCCAAGAACATCTCAAGGATACCAGTGACATCACCCTGGAGACATCACTGACCTCTGGGAGAGGGATTGTTGCCTGCAAGGTAGTGAGCAGAGATTTTCCATTCAACCTCTGGACTCAACTCCAATTCCGACCTCCTCAGTGTGCAAACACCCTGCCCTCAGAGACAGCCTCTTCACACACAATGCAGAGGAAATAATGCTGCAAACCCCCCACCTCACATGCAGCCACGCAGAATGGTGAAGCAGAGAAGAATCTCATCTAATTTTAACTCCCCTGATGGACAGGCTTTGTTCTTTATAACAGCTGCCCCGCAAGGTATGAAAACACTCAGATATGTTGACGTGGGAAAACAAAACACACAAATCAGCCCATTTTCCTCTTCAAGGCAGATTTATCTGGAGCTGTCAGTGGAGGCAGGGGAAGTGATAAGCCCTGGGGAGATGGGGGAGCAGCCTGGACTTGCAGCTGGGTGGTTACCAATGTGGTTGGGCTGATGCTCTTCGAGCATCTGGTCCTTTCTATCCCAAGCCCCAAAACACTTCAGATCTACAAAAAAACAGTGACATTTTCTGCTGCAATTCCCCAAGGTGTGATTCTGCACATCTCCAGTCTCACTCTTATAAATGAGGGGAGCTGGGTGCCAATGGAACCCTCACCCCCSTCCAGAGTGGTTCACCACAAGCTGAGCTCCATCCTGGTGCCCCGATCGTGGTGACCACTTGCTTTTCTGAGTTAGGATGGGTGGGATCAGACACAGGAGAAGGATGACAGCAGCTCAGGGGGAGGAGGGRAGGTTGGTAAATCCCTCTGCAAGGCAAGGGAGGCAAGAAAGCAGCACAGGGACTGCAAGGCAAGCAGAAAAGCCCATGGTGTGACACTCAGGGCTGCTTCTCTTGMCAAAAATCACCCTCACTCCAACTGAAAGCCAATGCGCCTGCTTGTCCCAGAGCTGCTTTTTGGGGTAAAAACCCATTAAAAAGGGAACACTTCCACCTGGAAGTTTCCAAAGCCAGGCTGGATGTGGCTTGGAGCAATCTGGCCTAGTGGAAAGTGTCTTTGCCCGTGGCAAGGAGTGGAATAAAATGGGCTTTAAGGTCCTTTCCAACCCAGATCATTCCATGATTCTATGAAGATAAGCACTATGGAGGGGGAATAAAAACTGGAGATTCCCCTCGCAGTATCACAGCTCTGAAATGTCACAGGCAAAACTTAAGCTGGCTGCCAAACTGGAAATTATATTAAAATCTAAAAATATTTTTATGCATTTCTATTTTAGATATTTGTATATTTTTGTCACAGTTCTRTACCCGGCACAGCTGCCCTGGCTCCCACCTAGGCAGAAGACACAGCCATCCCAGTGTCACCAGAGTTCCAGTGCAAAGTGAGAGTCACTTAGAGAGTCTCCGTGTGCTTCTGAAGTCCCAAAAACCTTCATGAAGAACTCATCTCCCCTGTTTCCTCCTCCATGAACCTTGAGAGACTGTCATGGATTTTGACTGTAATCTGGTCAGGGCAGATTCATGGCTCTTGCATGTTATTTTTAGGGCCATTTTAATTAAAACAAATAAATTTGGGAGGAGAAGAGGGTCTTTGCACCATGAAATACACTTTGTCAAGTTTGCAGCTTCTGAGTAAATCAAAACACTGCTGTTAGTGGCTGCAGCTGTAAATCCCCTTGGATGGATCTCAGTTCACCAGGCAAAGGAGCAACATGAATTTTGCTCCTTGACAGTCTTAGTATTGCTCTCACCACTTCAATTTGATATATTCTTCATTTTTGCAGGGGAGAGAAAAAGAGCTAAGCTAAGTTGCTGCAGAGAACTTCCTAAGAGAAGCAAACCCCACAGGAGACCAGGACTTGATCCAAGATCACAGAATTACGGGATGGTATAGGCTGGAAGGGACCTTAAAGCCCATCTCATTCCACCCTACCAGGGCAGGGACACCTTCCACTGTCCCAGGTTGCTCCAAGCCCTGTCCAGCCTGGCCTGGAACACTGCCAGGGATGGGGCAGCCACAGTGCTCTGGGCAGCCTGTGCCAGGGTCTCCCCACCCTCCTGAGTAAGATAAAGTGGCATTGATGAAACTCAGGATGCACAGAGAAATCCCAGCASCGGTAATGAGGGTCAGGACCTGCCAGACCCACCAGGCTCCATGCACTGCAATGGGGTGATGTTCTCCCCTCCAACATGTCTCCTCTGCCTCAGTTTCCCCAGTTTTGGGAATTCCATCCATAGCAGCAGCCAGGCTCGGCAGCTGGAGAAGCAATAGCTGCAAGCAGGCAGATGAACACCAAAGCCCTTAAAAGATTTTTCCATTTGTTTTATGTGTCCACTGGGTTTATTTTTAACAATCCAGCTGAAAAAAATTTCTAAAGCAATGCCGGAGCTGAGCTGAGAGGACGTGTTTGCTGGAACCTGCCAGGATGATTAGGCCTTTGCAGATAACCCAAAAGGGTCGGTGTGGGGCTCTGGCCATGCTAGGAGCCAAGTGAAGGGATGGATTCTCTTGCAGAGAGCTCCTCAGCCACGCTAAAAGCTATTTTACACTCCCTAACATGACATTTTCTTCCCGCCAGGAGTGATCAGCAGCTGGCCTGCGTCAGAGCCGGGCACAGCAGACACACAACACCTCACTCTGGGCTGGGAGGCTGTTTTCACCTGGGAAGGTATTGAAATCCCATATTCTGGACCACACACAGGTGCAGGACACCCCCCTCTGTTCTGCCTGGGCTTGTAAGAGCTTTGCAGGAATGGGAACACCCTCCAGGTAAAGAGGCGGATGCATCCAAAACGCAGGACCCAAGATATACATATTAAATCCCTCCCTGTGCTCCCAATTCCTGCCTTTACCCACCCCACCAGCCCTGTGGAGCAAAGGCAGGACCACAGCCACCTCACACCATGAGGACAGAAACCCACAGCACGTTGCTCCTGTCTCCCTGCTCAGTGGCCCTGAAGCTGGTTACCATCTGAACCATGGGATGAATGAAAAGCCATTAATTCCCTCCTGGGTGTTTTTATGAAGCTCTTGATGAAATGTCTGGATGCTTCAGCACTGCAGGAGTTTGATGCTGGCAGAGCTCTCCACAGACTGAAAACCCTGTCTCCAGGGTTGAACAGGCTCCTGGCTTCTCCTCCATGTCCTGTGTCCCCTGCTCTGTCCCCCAGCAGCCAAATGTCCCCAAAATTGCAGCAAATCATCCTCTCTGTCTGAACAAGCTCTGTCCCAGGGCACAGGGTAATGAATTAATCCATCCCCAAAGCAAACAGGAGATGGGGGCATCCCAAATGCAGGCACCCACAAACTCCACGTCCAGTGGGGCTCCAGGAAAAATAAGGTTCCTGCCTCAAAGCTGTGGAGACCCTGGAAGTGGGGAGCCTTGCCAGAGGAAGGTGGTCCTGTCCCAAGGCTGAAAAGGATCTTTGGAAAGGGGAAAGTGACCCTCACCTTCCCACAAAGCCTTGCTCTGCTGAGCAGGTGCTGCTGCTGGGTCTCTGTTTGCACCCTCACTTCTGCAGCATTTCCCTAAATCCCTTAGCCTGCAAAAGCATCCCTCCTAAGCCCCTGGAACCCTCTTCAATATCCCCCAGCATCCTTACTTATTCCCTGCCAAGCATTCCTCCTAAACCCCCAACACTGCTCCCCAAATCCCTCCTTAGCATCCCCACATCTTTCTCCCCCCAGCACTCCTCCAATTCCTTCCATCACCCCACAGTATCCCTCTCAAATCCCCCTGCAACGTCCTCCCAAAACTCCTCAGCACCTCCAAACTCATCCAGCACCCCCTAGCCCCCCGACACATGGTGGGCAGGATGAAAGAGAGGGAGAAAAAGCAGAGGGCAAGGGGGAATTGGAGACACCCTGGCTATGCTTTGGGGACAAAGGAGCTGCTTGTCCTCCTGCTTTCTTACAGACAAAGAAAACCCCAAACAGTCTTAGCGCCGGGATCCATCACACTCCCCCTCCAGTCCGGGGACCCCCGGATGTTCGAGGACGCCCCCGAAGCCCTGAGCCCCCAGGCAGGGATGGGGGAGGAAGGGACCGGGAGGAGCTGGGGAGAGAGACAGGGACTGGGGTAGGGAAGGTAAGCGGGGAGGAGAGGTAGAGGCAGTGATGGGGGAGACGGGGTGCAGGCAAGGACCTGGGCGGTGGGAAGGGAGGCAGGGACTGGGGAAAGCGGGGCTCAGACAGGGGCTGAGAAGACAGTAACTGAGAGGGGAGGCTTGCAGGAATGGGGAGACAGAGCCACGGTCTTGGGGGTGGGGGGGGAGGCGCAAGTAAGGATCTCTGAGGGAGAAAGGTAGGCAGGAATGGAAGGATGGGGCGAGGCAAGCAGAAATGGAGAGAGACAGACAGGGATGGGGGGGAAACGGGACCGTGGAGGAAAGACAAGAACCTGCCGACTGGAGAAAAGCAGGCAGGCGCCGAGGTGGAGGAAGGGGGGGCGGGGGGGGACAGGTAGGGAGCAACGGGGAGAATAGCAGGCAGGGATCTGGGGAGCAGGCAGGGAGCGGGAGGGTGCAGACGGGGGGGCCGGGGGGCGGGCGAGTGAGCAGGGCCGCCCCCGGCCCCACGTGGCTCGGGGGACACGCGGGTTTATAAAGCGTCCCCGGCCCGCGCGGGTGCGGGAGGCGGCGGCGGCRGCAGCGGGCAGGAGCGGGGMTCGAACCCGCGGCACTCGGGTGCGCCCGGCTGTTCCAGCGGGGCCACGGCCGCCCGCGGGCCATGGATGTGACCATGGATGTGACCATGGATGTGMCCGTGGATGTGCCCGTGGAACTGATCTCGGTGCTGCCCACGGCCACTGCCACTCCCTGGAGCAACGGCACCGCCTGGGCCCCCTTGCCCGGACACGGGGTCAACGACACGGGCCCGCAGCGGGCCAAGAACGCCACATCCATCCTCATCGCCATCGTCATCACTGCACTCTACTCCGTGGTGTGCGTGGTGGGGCTGCTGGGCAACGTCCTGGTCATGTACGGCATCGTCAGGTGAGAGCTGGGCACCCCCCGGCCCACCAGGGGTGGGGTGTGCGCAGGGAGCCAGGGGGCACCTTGTCTGGGTGGGCACCGAGTGTGAGAGGGCTGATGGAGCCAGGGTGCGCCAGGGGTGAATGTGCAGCACATGCAAGGTGAGAGATGGTAACATTGAGTGAGTGTGCACCAGGCATGAGTGTGCACCAGGATCGTCTGTGCACCAGGAGGGAGTTTGCACTCAGAGAAGGTGTGCAGCAGTGAGTGTGTGCTGTGTGTCAACCAGCAGCAGAAGTAAGTGTGCAACAGAGTGAGTGTGCATCGGTTGTGAGTGTGCACCAGGTATGAGTCTTTACTGGGTGTGAATTTGCCCCAGGTGTGGGTGTGCACTGAGTGTGAGCCAGGAGCAGGAGGAGGGTTGGGTGTGTACCGGCTGCTTGTGTGCAGGCAGCATCGAGACGGGTGTTCCTGACGGGTGTGTGTGAGCAGTGTGTGTGCAAGCAGTGCAAATGGGGAGGGGGGGTGCAGGTGCTGTGCGAGGGGTGAAAGCAGAGGCCATGTGTGCCTGGAGCAGCTCAGGGGGTGCAAGGAAGCTACATTTGGGCAGAGAGGGGACAACACAGCCTGACCCAAGCGGGCGTCCCTTGTCTTTTGTGAGGAAGAGAAGCCGCAGGGCTGTTCATGCTGTGGGCTGGGAGCTGCCCTGTTTGCAGCGTGCGTCCAGACCCACCCACCCCCAGCCAGGGGCTGGTGGGCTCCCACTGCTCCCACCCCATTCCATCAGTGGGAATTACTGACCCAGCCCATTCCCAGCTTGTGCTGGCACCCTCTACCGCTGCCTGGCTTCTGTTCTTTTCAAACAAAGAGCAGGAATTGCATGGCCCAGCCCCAACGGCTGTGCTGTCCTCTGGTCCCCTCAAATGTGGGGTACCATCTCCAGCAGCAGAGAAACCCATTTTGGCTCCATCCAAGACCTCGGCAAGTGTGGCGAGGCTTTTCCTGGGCAGAGAGGGGGTCTGCACGGTCTCTGCACCCCAGGACAAGCAACAGGACCCAAATGGCACCCATTTTAAAGATGGGGCATGGCAAGATGCTGCTGCATCCAGCCCGGCACTTGTACTAAGGTACAAAATCTCATCAGCCCCATTGTTGGAGACACTGGTTGGTCCTGCCTGGATAAGATGGGTTGACATGGAAAATGGGACCATAAAGCCAAATCTTGCAGATTACAGGACTAGTGCCAGCAGTGAGGGCTGGCAGAGCCTCTCCACAGCCCTGCCTGCACCAGAGGATGGGACTGTGCTCACCATCACACTCTGAAGGCACAGACCAAACACCTCCAGCCTGGCAGGAGGGAATAGAAGGGTCTCACTGGATGCCTGGGCTTCACCCCCACCCTCTGCACTGGATGGGGTTTAGTCCTGGTGGTCCAGAATTTGTGGTGCAATCCCAATTCCCATTGCCTCAGGTACTGTAACCCCCCAGCTTGGCCAAAACCCTAGAGCCAAACCAGAGCTGGTGGGTGGATTTTAAAAAAATCCCCAAATCCACATTTTGTAACCATTTCCACCCTCCCTTCCCCATCCCTTTCAGTCCACAGCCATTGTTACAAGAGGTCAGCACAGTCCAGCACTACCTGCACACAAATAAACGTGGTGACTCACTGGACGGAAGGAAACCAGCCTGAAACGTGTCCATACGCCAGCCTGGAGTGCCCATCCACCCTGGTGCCAGGCTCTGCTGCCCCTACTCCCCACTCTGTGGGATGCTGCTATGAGTTTTTAGCCGTCCAAAAGACTGGGCAATGGGGAGTGGGATGGGTGAGTCACTTGTTGACCTGGCATTACCCCTAATGGGATTTTTCATACATTTGAAGTGGCATTAAAAATGAGCCCTGGTCTGAAAGAACAAATTGAGGTAATTGCAGCAGAGATGGGCGCCATGAGCGATGTCAGGGTGAGGGATGAGTGTTATTAGACCCCCTCCAGCTGGTTCTGCTCAGAGAGGAGAGGGAAGGCATTTTAAAGAGAGTGGTTTAATGTGCAAACAACATCCTCCCTATGTTACTCACGTAACATAGTGTTAGCCGATAGTGTTAGTAACCTCATGTTAGCCAGGCTTTAGCAAGCCTGACAGATCCACAGATCCCACCACCACAGCTTCTAGCCCTGCCCTTTTCCAACCCATGACGGTATTAAACACAGAATCACAGAATCATAGAGTTGTTTGGGTTGGAAGTGACCTTATAGACCATCCTATTCTACCCTGCCATAGGCAGGGTTACCTTCCACTAGACTAGGTGGCTCCAAGCCCTGTCCAAGCTGGCCTTGGACACTTCCAGGGATGGGCAGTATCTCCCATGGAATGAGAAAATACCATCCTCCAAGCCCCATGAGGGCCTGCAGGGACACATGCCTTTGCCCCTTCCGTGGCCAAAGCCAGCTGGAGTATCCCAGGGTTCCTTGTCAGAGTTGCTCCATGTTGACAGGGTTTAGGCCAGGACTAAGGGAGACCTGTGCCTATGCAGGAAAGGGCAATGAGATGGTATCAGCTCAGATTTGGACCTCGCTGCCAGGGAGATTCTGGGTATTTGCCCAATACCACCTCCTAGTGCCCTTGGGGTCCAGGTAGGGTGTCCAGGCAGTCTGGAAGCACATCCTGAGGCTCAGGSACCTCAGGGACCATGCTGAGTTTGCCACAAAGTTCATGAGTGCCAGGAGCTGGCAGATGCAGACACAGTCCTGGTCCATAGCTCCATGAATGGACACACCATGAGCTGAGTACAGCCAAACCCCAAATAAGTCCCTCTCCAGAGCAGCCAAGCCCATCTGCATACCCAGCACCCTCCCCACCACAGCTCTGACCAGCATTGCTATTCCTACTGTGTTGTCAGATGCTTTTAAAAATACCCATGGGAGAAATTTGCAGCTGCACGCTCAGGACTGCAAGTGCCCTCTTCCCCACCAAGCCCATCAGCCCCCTACCAACTCCTGCACAGGCTGCAGGGACAGCTGGGTGCAGGCTTTGTCAAGCCAGCCTTTTTCAAGTGGTGGTTTTTAGCAGCCCCAGGAGTTTTTCTTATTATTCGCTTTTTTTCTTTTTTCGCTTAACGTATTTTCCAAGAGGTTTGGAGAGGGGGTCCCTACTCTAGAGTTGAGACTGGAATGTGGAGCTGTCCTTTGCTTGCCCCATCTCCTCCCATTTCTTCTCTCCATCAACACTTCCCAGATTGTTCTGTTCAAGTGCATAACTTCCCAATCAAGGCACTCACTTAATTGCGATGGGTTTGGCAGCCTGGGGAGCTCCATCAGCAGCAGTGGATGGTTTGCTCTAATGCGGGCAATAAACCTGTTTCCTGGAGCAGCAGCTTCATTTGCAGCTCAGGGGGAACACCAGGATGGAGTCCCCCATCCTGTGCAGGGCGTTGAAACCTCAGCCCAAGCCTGAATGGGCCTGAATCCTGCCCCAAAACCTGTGCTGAAGACTAAATTGCCATCTTCATTAGCCCAGTCACCCCCATCACTATCCCAAGTCATCCCCATCATCCCAGTCAACCCCATCATCCCACTTATGTCTTTCATCATTCCAGTTATCCCCATCCTCATCCCAGTTATCTCACATCATTCCAGTCAAATGCATCAACCAGAATCAACCCATCATCCCAGACATTCCCACTATCATCCCAGTCATCTCCATCATCATCCCAATCATCTCCATTATCCCAGTCATCCCTGTAACTGCTTTGCCATCACTAACCCCATCCTGCCTGGCTAGGAGTGACCACTCCGGTCCTCCAGTCCCCCAWCCCTGGCACATCTGGCAGAGGGTTGGGAAGTACTTGCCCAGCACAGCCAAGCATATCTGGCAGACCATGGAATGAATAACTGATTTTTTTACCATTTTACTCAAAAAAACAGACCAAAGACATGTGAATCTACCTGAATTGACTGTTCACATAGGAGAGGCAAAATCTGACAACATCACAAATTCTCAGCTTTTTGTTTAACCTGGAAGGAAACTTTTCCACAAAAGCTCTTGGAAAATAACACTAAAGAGAACTGAAAAGGACTTTCCAAGGACAAGACATTTTTAATGCCATATTTAAATATTAAAAAAAAAAAAAATAAAAAGCTCAGCTCAAATATTTCCACCCTGGGGCAAGGGGCTGCCATTTGCAGCCATGGTAAAGGAGACAGGAATGCTCTTGGAGCTGGGAGCTAAGTTGAGCTGCTGTTTTCTATTTTCTCCCAGAGAGAAATGAGTTTTTCAGGTCCAGCTCCTAGTTCTATCAGCAATGGAAGCCGGTGGGTCTCTGTCCCCACCAACACACTCTCCTGACCCTGCTGAGATKGAGAAAGGATAAAGGGAGGGGATTGTGTACCACTATTAATCCCAGGAGCCCCTTTGTCACACCAGCCTGCTGTTCTGGGCTACAGTCAGGACAGGATCACCTAAGATGGGAGCTACTTAATCCCCCCACCCCAATTTACTTTATGTATCTCCGACATGCGATGAGCTGTGCCAATTATCACAGAACCCTAGAATGGTTCAGACTGGAAGTGACCTTAAAGACAGCCTAATATCACTCTCTGCCATGGGCAGGGACGCTTTCCACTATCCCAGGTTGCTCCAAGCCCTGTCCAGCCTGGCCTTGGAGACTTCAGGGATGGGGTAGCCGGAGCTTCTTGGGGCAACCTGTGCACAGCAGGGCCACCCTAATACCTGATCCAAACCTGTCCTCCCTCTGTCAGTTTAAAACTATCTTACCCCTACCACTCATGTAAAAAGTCACTATCTATTTTATAAATACTCCAAGAAAAATAATCTTGTCATCCCAGCAACAAGGGGGTCATCTCCCCACTCCATACTGCACCCCACTAGTGCTACAGGCAGGTTTAGCTAGGCACAGAGATGGTTGTGTGCAAACTGACCCTGTTAATTAACTAGGGTGCATCTAAATGAGCTCGGAGCTTTAGAGAATGCTCTGAGCAATGGGAATTTGCAGGAAGGGAACACTGGAAGAGTTGGAGCTGCTGGTGTAGCCCTGCAAAGAGCAGGGTCTTACACAGAGCCACTCCCACCCCAGCACAATGTGTTGCCCTTTGGGGGTGCCCAGCACATCCCTCATTATCTATTTCCAAGCCACCACACCATTCAAAACATCCTTTTGACCAAGAGTTGTGGGACTGGATGCCCCTGGGACACACACACACATCCCTGCTGCTCTGATATTGACTGTAATTTTGCCTCATCCCTTCAGAAAGGGTTTGGACATGAAGAACCAAGTGTTTCTCTTGCCATGGTGTGACAAGAACCAGAACCAGAGCCAGCCTTTCCCAAATGCCCTGGGGGACAGAGCCAGGCTTCCCCAAAGGCTCTGGAGCTCCAGGCTGGCTAATTGGGCTGCTTCCAGATGGCCTGTTTCCGGGAGTAATTGATCCAATTTCTGCAAGCAAACTTGACAGGGAAGCAGGCTAGATAATCAAAATTTACTGGGTGGAAAATCAGATAGAGTGTTGGGGGGATAAAGGATATTGTGCAACTGGTTCAGGGAAATGGAGAAAATCAATCTCATTGGAGAATTGACTTCTCTGGAAAGTTCTTTATTCCTTTGAATGAAGGCAGGCATGGAATGATCATCACCTCCGTAGTCACGTGCAGGAAAACCACTGTGGCACAGGCCAAGTTATGCTCTGCACATCCCAGCTCAGCACATGTGAATGTCATCCCCTGCTCAGGTACCCCTGGGTAGGTGGCTCCCTGCCCATGGCTGGGGAGTGGAACAAGATGAGCTTTAAGGTCTGCCCCACACCCCAAACTAATTTGGGATTCTGTGATTTTATGACTTCAGCATGCAAGAACACAAGTATAGAATCCTAGAACAGCTTGGGTTAAAGCTCATCTCATTCCACCCTCTGCCATGGGCAGGGACACTTTCCACTATCCCAGGTTGCTCCAAGCCTCATCCAACCTGGCCTGGAACACTTCCAGGGATGGGGCAGCCACAGATTCTCTGGGCACCCTGTGCCAGGGCCTCACCACTCCCACAGGGAGGGATTTCTTCCCAATGTCCCATCTAATATCCTGTCACACCAGGCCGTTGTTAGGAGTCTCTAGCCATCTTTCTTGTGGGCTCCTTCAGGGACTGGAAGGCCACAATTAGGTCGCCCCAAAGCTTGTCTTCTCCAAGCTGAACAATCCCAGCTCTCTGAGCCTTTCCTTACAGCAAAAGTGTTCCATCCCTCTAGTCATCTTGGTGGCCTCCCCTGTACTCACTTCAATAGCTTCATATCCTTCCCCAGTGTGCTCCCTGGTGCACCAGGCAAGGTGCTGAGCAAATGGGTGCTGCAGAAAGGACATGTCACAGCATGTACTTTTGCCCACCAAGGCTGGTGTCACCTTGCAAGCAGCCAGTCTGTGCCCCCTCTTCAGCACATCAAGTGTCCTGACCACCTGTAACGTCTCCCTTCTGTGCTACCCCCAGGTACACTAAGATGAAGACAGCCACCAACATCTACATCTTCAACCTGGCGCTGGCCGACGCACTGGCCACCAGCACACTGCCCTTCCAGAGTGCCAAGTACCTCATGGAGACCTGGCCCTTTGGGGAGCTGCTCTGCAAGGTTGTGCTCTCCATTGACTACTACAACATGTTCACCAGCATCTTCACCCTCACCATGATGAGTGTGGACCGCTACATCGCCGTGTGCCACCCAGTCAAGGCCCTGGACTTCCGCACGCCAGCCAAAGCCAAGATCATCAATGTCTGTATCTGGGTGCTCTCCTCCCTCATTGGGGTGCCCATCATGGTCATGGCAGTCACCAAGTCAAAAGGCAAGTGGCTCTGGGTACATGTCCCCTCCTGTCCCATCAGTCCATCTCAGGGATGGACGTAGCAAACTTGACCTCTGGTCCTGTAGCAGATTTGTGTCGGTGGTGGGCACCTGTCCATAATACCATAAATATGCCCTGTCATGTAGAAAGCATCATGTTGTTATTTCCCATCTTAGAAACTGTCTCAGAAATTGTCTTCCCTTCCCCTTAAGGGTGGGGATGCCACACCTTTCCCCATCTCCAATCTAACCAGTGCCCCTCTCCAGCTCCTGAGGTGCAAATCAGGTACTAAAACCACCCCCACTGATGCTGTGAAGTCCTCAAGTGGCTCACAGTAAGATCTGCAGTTCCTGTGTTGGGATGCTGGTCCTTGGCTACTGGGAATGCTCTGCACATCTTGAGGAAGTGGACAGATTTCTGTGGAGATATGGAGACATGGAGATATGTTCACCATGGGGGTTGGGAGAAGGTAGGATTGGCCTTGAATGGCCCAGGAGGCTCTGCAGGTAAAAGATTCCGGGGTCACTGCACCCACTGCATCCCCTCAGCTGCCTGTGGGCAGAGGGCTGATGGCACAAAGCTCCTGGGGAACCTCTGCCAAGAGCAGGCAGACATCTCCCTGAGGTTTTAACAAGCCAGCAGCAAGCAGAAGTCAGAATATTCTCAGCAGATGCCTCCACCAGCTCCCTCTTTTGACCCTCCTTTTTCCTACAGATGGGATGGTCCTGTGCACACTCCAGTTTCCTGATCCTCCCATCTACTGGGATACTGTGACCAAGATCTGTGTCTTCATCTTTGCCTTCCTGGTCCCCATTTTGGTCATCACCATTTGCTACGGGCTGATGATCCTCCGCCTGAAGAGCGTCCGGCTCCTCTCAGGCTCGAAGGAGAAGGACCGCAATCTGCGGCGCATCACGCGCATGGTGCTGGTGGTGGTGGCAGCCTTCATCATCTGCTGGACACCCATCCATATCTTTGTCATTGTCTGGACACTGGTGGACATAGACAAGAAGAACCCCTATGTGGTGGCCAGCCTGCACTTCTGCATTGCCCTGGGCTACACCAACAGCAGCCTCAACCCCGTCCTCTATGCTTTCCTGGATGAAAACTTCAAGAGGTGCTTCCGAGAGTTCTGCCTGCCTTTCCGAGCCCGGGTGGACCAGAACAGCTTCTCCCGTGGCAGGAACACCACGCGGGAGCACGTCTCCACATGCACCCCTTCTGAAGCCCGCAACAAGCCGGCATGACTAGACGTGGGCAGCCCCCAGCGGGGCTGCCGGGGACACAGAGGAGATGAGCTGCGCTCAGAAGTCACCCAGGTCACCACCACAGAATTTTAGCAGAATGGTAGCCTGGGTGCTGCTTGGTAACACTGCTGGGTTTGCATACAGACTGACTGCAAAGACTTTTTTCATCCTGGAAAAGAATGGGAGAATTGGGACTCATCGAATAATGTGGGGAGAAGCCCAGAACAAGAGGCAACTTGGGCAAAACTGCTCTGCTGCTGCCACCACCTCAACCAGCAACATCCAGCAAGGGCTGTCACCCTCCAACATGTGGCTCTTGGCAGAGTCCCGGGCACTAGGACTGCCATGTCCACATGCTTCTCCTCCTGCATGGGCCAGGATTCCATCACAGCCTGTGGCAAGAGCGGAAACGCTCCCATGGCAGAAGTGAACTATGCCAGGAGGTGATCAAAGGATCACAGAATCATTCAGGTTGGAAAAACCCTYCAAGATCAAGTTCAGCTGTTTTCCCAGCACTGCCAAAGCCATCAGTAGCCTATGTCCCCAGGTGCCACAACCACACAGCTTTTACATCCCTCCAGTGATGGTGACTCCACCACTCCCCTGGGCAGTTGTGCCAGGGCCTGAGAACCCTGTCAGTGACAAAACATTCCCTAATATCCAACCTAATCCTCCCCTGGAATGACTTGAGACCACTGCCTCTGCCGCATCATGGTTCTTCATTCTATCCCCGTTTGAGATGGGAGGAGAAAATTATGCCACTTCAGAGACACTGTTTTCAAAAAGCTCCAGATCTATAGTAAAAATTCTCCTGGAGTCTTTCAAATTGGGACTGCTCCCAGAGAAAACTTTCTACTGTTAATGTCATTACTGTGTTATTTGGAGATCTCTGACTGCAGCTAAGGCTGCCCAGGACATGGATGTGATGCTGGGAATATGGATATGGCCAGGGGATGGAGCAGGGTATGTCTGAAGTTGACCTCATATCCACATGCCAATGCTCAATTCCCCATGTCCAGCATCCATCGGGGTGACAGGGAACTGATGAAGTCATTAAGTGCTGGAGTCATTAAGCCCAAGAAGAACCTTATTAAGGGAGTAATTTGTGGGAACTCGAGTTGTTTCTCRCAGTGCTAAAGTAATCAGGATGGAATAACAGGCAGCACCAAAAGCTCTCCCTCTCCTGCCCATCAGGAGAAGCATGAGCAACAGCACTGCCCAGATTTCCATAAGAGAGACAAAAAAGAATGGAATGGGGTTGTGGCTCTTTTTTTTTTTTTTTTTTTTTTTTTTTTTTTTTTTTTCGGAGGTGACAAAAATATCACCTCCCTTTCACAATTCCCCAAGCAGGGACAGAGGTTGTGCAGGTACCAAAAAAGGACCTACAGCCCATAACAGGCAGAGATTTGGGGATTTCAGCTCTCATCTGAATGGAAGGGATGGCTAAACTCCAATTCCCAATGCATCCTGAAGAAACCACCTTCCAGGGACCTCTTGACCATATTATCTGCAGCTAAACGTTAACTGGTGGGTTCTCCTGCTCTCTGAATCCCCCCTCCAGCCCTGCACCAAATCTGTGAGCCACCACTTTTCCTTCCTCTCACCTTCCCACTGCATTTGCCAAGCGGTCAGGCAACGCAAGAAGGAGGATGCTTGGAGGAAGTAATAAYAACATCGAGAGAACAAATTGCTGCAGCTGGAGGAAGCAGGCGAGCACCCTGCTGCACCTGGGACTTGCAGACTGGATGCRGAGTTTGGCTTGTGTCTGGTTTCTCTAGTTGTATCAATTTAGGCTAATAAAAGCCATTATCTCTCCTCACCAGCCCCACCTTTCTCCAGAACTGGAAATTGCAATCCTCCACATTAGAAAGACAGACCCACAAAGCAGCCAAAACCGATTTCTCTTTCAAAGGGATCAAATAGGGTAAAATTGCCCATTGGTGTCTCAAATCAATTGTGCCAATGCCCRTGAATGATCCTCCCTGTCTGCCTGCACTCTGTCAACGTGCCACAGGCAAAAGCCTCTTGCTCRGTGCTGCATCCACCTGGACATTTCCATCTTATGTCCAGGGCTCTTCAGAATCCCTTTGCAGGCTTGAATGGAGTCCTGGACTACTTGCATGGCCATGCTTGGCTTCCTCATCCCCTGCTACCATCTGCTCGTGGAGCATCAGATAAGGGAAAGCAGGATCAGTTCCAGGGCAGGAACTGGGGGGAAATCCCTAGGATCACACAAAGCTTAGCTTTAGCTCTGTGAGAAGAGGAACTAAGGTAATCCAGAAGGAGTTGGAGACCATCCTTCAGCTCACCACCTCCACCCACACTGCAGCATGTGGTGGCTGATGGCAAGCACGTGGTCATGGTGGGATTTCAGGATGTCCCATCAGGCTGGATGTTCCTGCAGGGGTGGGATGTCCCATGCTGTGGAGCAGGACATTTTGGAGTTCACTCCAAGCTCCAGCATGAAGCTGAACTCAGCTTGACTTCTCGAATTTTGGGGTATCCCTAAAACGTGATGAACCCATACCACTGATATCTTCAAACTGTCTTAGCCAGTGCCTAAAAACCAACCCCAAGCTCAAGGCTGGGTGTGGCACAACCAGAGAGTAGTGTTTCTTGCAACAGCACAGGATGGAATGGGGCGCACAGAGGAAGTGAACCCTGGCATCAGGGATGGAGCATCTCTGCCCTGGCACAGCCCCTTCGAGGTCATCGTGTTGTGGGGACAAGAACCCCCAACATGAGTGCTGGCAGTTGCCGATTGACTCGGGGCTCTGTGAGCAACTTGGCTACCCCACAAAGCTCAGCCCATTTTTCCCATCCCCACAGGACATTTTCTCCATCTGCCAAATTCCCAGCCTACTGGAAAATGGGACTGCCATGGCCTTAAAGTGAGTTAAAAGGCTTCAAGTCATTACTTTTTAAAATGCCACCATGCATGGTAGAGCTCAGAGCCCAGGACACAGCGAAGAGGGTGGCTTTCCTGAGCTTCAGGTTCACTGACTTAAAGAAAAATGGAATATTCCTGGGAAAAATGGGGCAAGCAACCTGTCAGAGCATGTGGGGTGACATGGGTGTCGATCATTCCATTCTGGCAGCATCCCAGCAGGGATCTGGGGCATGATCCAGCTTCACCCACCTAAAAACCAGCTCCCCCAGCCCCTCATCTGGGCTGGGAAACTGGACAAATCCTAATTCAAGGAAACAGCACTGGGAGATCCTGCCTGCTCAGACTGAGCCATGCTCAGTAGTCAGGATGCTCCGAGGGAACTCTCTGTGTACTTTTATAAATATATATGTATGTCTTTCCACTGTAGYTGTATGAAATTAAAGTGACCACAAGGCCTCCTATCCCACCTCCCATTGCAGCAACTGCTCCATGTGAGATGGAACTGGAGCTGATGGATCCACAGCACCTCACAAAGTATTTCAGCCACTATTTCCAGTTCCAACCCTCGGGATTTTGGTGTTCCAGTGGTATTTCTGTACAGGAATCTTGCTTTATAAAAATTAAAATAATAAAATAAAGTAAAATCAGAGACAGGAAGCAGCTTTTAGCTCTCTTGTGTCTCCCAGGCATCAAAAATGAGCAGGGTCTGCCTCATGGGGGTAGTCTGCAGAGTGGTGGGAGAGGAACTACCTCTAAATTWACTCTTTTACCAAGGAAGGTGGGGAGGCCCTGGCACAGGTTGCCCAGAGAAGTTGTGGCTGCCCCATCCAAGAGTGTCCAAGGCCAGGTTGGATGGGGCTTGGAGATGCCTGGTCTAGTGGAAGGTGTCTCTGCCCATGGCAGGGAGTAGAACTGGATGGGCTTTAATGTTCCTTCCAACCCAGGCCATTCCATGATTCTAAATTCAAGTTCTAAAAACTCTGGACTTGSAAAACATCACCTTTGTGAGATTATTATCTTTCTCCCCCAAAGGCCTTTAGCTGAGATTGTTTTCAAGCTCTAGTCACCAAAAACCTCTGCTGCCACCAGCCATCAAAATATAATTTTATTTTAAAAGCCCAGCAGCTCAAATTCTGGCCCAAATTACCTTTGTAATGTAAATACAAATGAGGATGTAGTGAAAATGCAACAGAAATAGGTGTCAGACCTGTAACTTTGCTCTGGCTTTATGAGATATTGGATTTTAAGGTATTTATCACTTCTGCTGTGTAGGTTTGTAAGCTCCCAAAGAAGGGGCAAATCATGAAGAACACAGGGTGGATGTGAAAACCAAATTTCTAGCCTGGGGGTGTTGTTAAGCCAGGGCATCACTGCTCCAGCACCTCCTCAAGGACCCAGCACCCTGGGAAAACCAAAGCACGCACCAATGCCAGTGATWTCACAGCCCAGTTAAACCAGCAGCCAGCCCAGCTTAGTAATGAAACAACCTGTGCCAGCACACAGGAGCTGCCAGACACCTACCAGCTATTTCCAGGGACTTTTGCAGCCCAAAAACATATGCTACTGCAGGAAATGTCCTATCCCCCTTTTTTTTTCTTTGATTAATCCACCACATAATGAACCCTGATATATGGGGCTTTATTCTTACACCTGTGATTAATTATGATAATGCCAGTTTATCTGTCTGCAAATTAAGCCTGACTTTGGAATTGCATTAATATGCAGATGGCAATGAATGGATTTGGCTTTCTTGGGCAGGACAGGTTCAAGATCTGCCACCTTCCTTGCCCCAGAGAAGGCTGGGGTGGATCCAGGCTCTCAGCCCTACAGAGATGCTTGTCTTGCAACTCATCACTTAATAGGGGAAAAAAAACATCACTCTGAATAATTCCTAGAGGTTTCTTTTTCTTTTTTTCAGACTTAAAAATTCTGCTTAATTTGTACTGTTTCATTCCTTGAGCAAATGGGAATAGGAGGAAGATGCAGGGAGAGGAATGGGGCTGGCTGGGTCCTGTGGGAGCACTGAGGCTCCTCCAGGTAGGGATAGAGCCAGGATCCCCTTCCCCAGCTCCCAAGGGTTGTGTGAGCCATGTGAGACTTTCCTGATGTTTTGCCTGTTGTAATCACCATTTCAGCCCAATTCCCATCCCCAAGAGGCCAAAGACACTCTTCTACCAGGAGCCACACCAAAGCACTGCACATCCCAGTTATCCTGGGATATACTGGCCAGGTTCCAGCCTTAATGATGGGATTCGTGGAGAGACAGCCCAGCACAATGACCAAACTCTGTAGCTTGCAGACCTGTCATTAAACCCTGGCACAGGCAGCTTGGCTATAATTAAAACTCATTTCCTCTTCCAGGCAGGAAAGGAAGAACAAGAAAACAATYTCAGTATCCTCCAAACTCTCCTGAAGATGCAATTCCCTCCCTGCAGCATCACTGCATAGGCAGCATTTTTGTATCTAAACCAGCAGCATATTCAAAAACATGAAAAAAATCCCTCACAAACACACAAACCCTTCGAACACCAAAAGTGCTTTTATTCTGGGCTCCAAAGAGTCTCACACCACCAGGCCTCATCCTCCACTGATGCTGAAGCCCTCAAATTCCACTGTCCCAGCTTTTGTCTGTAAATCAAAAGCCTTTTGTACACTACCAGTAGCAACAGATGGAGACCAGAGTGTGGGACTGGAGTAGCCATCCAGGGATGAGGGAGGGTCTGGAGGTGTCAGCACTGGAAAACCTCCACCATGGACTGAGGCAGGATTCTGATTCACCCAGAGGTCTGTTCCACAGGACCCAAATTCCTCCTCCTCATCCTCAAAACACCCCCAGTTTACTCTGTGCGCACAAAATCTCATTAATGAGACATTTCCCTTCCCTCAATTAAGCTGTTTTCCTTCACTCACCCTCTCTCTCCTCTGTGGGGCCTCATCCTTCCCCTGTTTTCAGCAGCTTCCCACTGAAGTGTTACTCTGGCTCCCARGACAACGGCTGATTCATCAGCTCTGAATACTTAAAATCTTATTGTTCTTCCCTTGCCCTYTTCCCGTTTCTTGAAAATACCAACAGGCTCCCCATTTCCAAAGAGATGTTTTCCCCTTTCCAGGAACAGGAGCAGCCCCTCAAGAATGGGTACAATCCCTTCTCATTTGGGAATGATCTGGGTTTCCTCTGCACCTCAGGAGCTGGAGCAGGGAATTTCATTGGCTCCTGGCACAGAATTGAACCCTGTGGTGACCATACAGTGGTGCCACCACTGATCCTGTTCCTGATGCAAGGAATTGCCCAGATGTTGGGGATGGATGTAAAAACTTGCCAGTGCCGGAAATCGGAGGAACTGGGAGCACTGGCATGTGGGGTCTTGGCTCCCAGCTCCCTGGTAGTTGAGGCTATTTTTTYTGAGAAATGTTGTTGCTGGGAATCAAGCCCCTGACAAGGAGCAGTTTCCCCATCAGGTATCCAGCAGGTCACATTTCATGGAGAAGCATCAAATGGTGATGGTCCCTAGGGAGCAGAATTAGCCATAAGGGTTTAGCCACTAGGGATTAGGAAACACTAGCYGATGGCGCAGCCTGCAGTGATGGCAAAATATGGGCTTGATCGCCAGCAGTACAACATTCCCCATGGGCCTGTGGGGAACATTCCCCAAGGGCCTCTGCCACACCAGGAAGTAGGAATTTGCCCCACAGGTTCCAGTCTCCCCACATCTGGCTCAGCTCCATCTGGGAGCACCCAGCAGGGAATGCCAGCATCCTTCCAGCTGTGCCATGGGCTTGGTTGTGCCCCTGGAGACCCAAAGACCCCAGGTGTGACCCATCAGAGGCAAGGAACTAAAGGGAGGGTAACAGAGATGACAGGGGCCATCCCCTCTTCTTGTCCCAGCTCTCCTCGTCCCGTGGCCCAGCAGCTCCCAGTGCGTTCTCCTGCGGCCACGTCCCCCACTGCACAGGAACACCCAGACACAGCTGCACCCCTAAAAGCACCCACCTATCCCCAGTGTCCCCAAGAGCCATGACAGGTCCCAYGGAAGAACTGCCCACCCCTCCATAACAGGAAATGCCTGGGTTTATCAAAACTCGGTTTATTCCAAATGTTAAAAGATGAGTTTTTTGTCCTTTCTGCCTTGATTAATCAACCAAAATACATTTTTTTTAAAAAATCCAACCCCTTCTGCACCACTGTATAATCCCAGACTCCCTCCCCAGCCACAACCCACCCCCTCCTATCGCTATAATTTAGGTCTTTGCAGACCCCTCCTCACTCCAGGTACCAGGAAGGCACCTGATGGAAGGAGAGGATGGGACAGGCTGGGCGCAGGGAGCCCAGTTGGATCAGAGGCGATGGTGAAAAGTCCTCTTGTTTCCAGTGACTCCATTCATAGCTGGGGTCTGGGTGYCTGCTCAGCAAAGCCCTAACAGTAAATGAAGCTCCTTCCTCAGCAAGTAAAAGAGAAAAAATTAAAGTAAGTGTTCCCACCTGCAGGATGAATTTGGTTGGGTTTTCAAAAGCAATGGGAAAGAAGGAATAACCAGGACCGCAAAAGAGCAGTGGTGGAGGTGGCTGCTCCAGGCCACAGAGGGCAGGGAACCTGCTCCTGGCCTCACTGCCTGGGAGGGATTCAGCTCAGATACTTGAGGGATGGGAGGAAGGAGTCCCCCTTTCCTTTTCCAGCACTCAGTGTGCCAGGCATCACCCAGCAGCATTCTCCCTTGTCAGGCAGAATCTCCCCACAGCAGCCAGAAGTGCTGGATAAGAGGACAGAGCTCCCTGGAAACATTCCTGTTGGACTGAGATACCCCCTCAAATGAGCTCAGAGGGGTTTAGTGGGTGGCAGCAGACAAATCCAGGACAGACATGTTTAGGTGAACAGGGTAGAGAAGCATCGAGATGTGGGGAACATGGGGACCTCAGGGAGACTGATACCCAAACCTGATTGCGGAGTAAAGGACAAGACCCTTGGCTTTGCCGGGCCAGGAAATGTTAAGAAACCAGACAAGTAGAAATCCATCCAGGCACAGAACTGGGATCAGTTTAGGACCAAGCTGGCCCGGGGAGCTGTCAGAGCACTGGGCACCACAAGAAAGCAGACACACGCTTGCAGGGAGAACCTGTGGGCAACCGTGTTCCAGCCACACAGGCACCTCCGGGCCCAGCTCCGTAAGCCTGCTGCCCTTCCCAGAAAAATCAGCTCCCAACCCAGGCAGAAGTTGTGGGAGGTCTGGGGGTGCCATGATCCCACGGGGCTCAGCTGTGGTGTCACTTCATCAGCTCTGCTCCTTGTCCCTGACCAGCAGCACGGTGTGCTGCCCACCGCTAGACACAGCCAGCACTCGCCGGTTTTCCAGCTGCTTCCCGGTCATCTCCACGGGGCTCCAGACATCGTCCTCCTCCCCGGTGCCCAGCTGGTAGTTGGTGCCCATTCCCCAGGCAAATGCTCGTCCTGCAATGGGGTTCAAACAAGTTTTGAGTTCCAAGTGGCTGCATGATGGGAAGACGATCTAGCACCCAATCCCAGGGGGAACCAACACCCAAACCCAAGGGGACCCTGCACCCAGGCAGTGAGTTTCTATGTGTCAGAAACACAAGCAGGAGGAAGAGGAGCACTTTGCAATTCAAACAGATGTGCCATTGCAGAGCCAAGGCACTTTTATCCCTTTTGGGAAGAAAACTAAACTCACACCCCACTCCAAATCCTCCTTCCTGCAGACACTGCACACAGGCAGATGCAGCATCAGAACACAGAGGTCTGCCAACAGCAGAGAAGGGACTGTTAAGCCAGCAAGCCCTCCTGGTCAACACCATGTGACCAGCCCTGGTACCATAGGCCCACAAACACATCTGAGCAGCTACTGCCCAGTTGCCTCAAGGTGATCAGCACCACCACCTGTCTCAAGTCCCAACTGAGCTGGCAGTGTGTGGTGATGGCATGCAGGGCTGGATAGAGGGATGAGGAAAGTATAAAAGGCAGTGTTCCCAAACCCCACTCCACATCAGACTCACCATCACTGCTGACAGCATAGCCAACTGATGCCCCACAAGCCACTGAGGTGATGCTGGGGAGCTCCGGGATAACTGTGGGTGTACTCTTCTCTTCTGCCCCCATCCCAAGACCCAGCCGGCCGTACTCTGCCCTGCCCAGGCTGTAGGCTTTACCTGGAGCACAGCGGATAAACAGGAGAGGTGACTTGAGGGCAGAAGCTGCGGCAGGGTCACAGCTGGACCCTCTTCCCAGGGTCGACTCCTGAAGGAGCATCACTCCTCCATACCACACCCTCAAACACAAACAGAAGGGGTAGGGTGGGATAAAGAGCCTTGAGCTCCCCAAAATCAGTAAGGTGGATAGGTGCAAGAGCAGAGGTCACAAATGAGTCCAGGTTCCTGTTTTCAGCTTCCCTTTGCTGCAATCTCACACCAACCTTGTTGCCTTGAACACCGAGGGCTTGGAGGGTTCCAGCACRTCGCCCTCATCTCAACAGCTCCTTGGCCAGAACGAGGGCCATGGGATCTCCCCATCCTGCTGTGTGACTCCCAGCCCACCTGTCACACTGTCACTCACCCTCGGAGTCAACGCAGACCGTGTGGTGCTGCCCGCCAGAGAACCCAACCCAAGACTTGGTTGAGTTCTTGAAGCATGTGAGATTCTGTGGGGAGAAGCACGGCTCCGTGTCCTGGGTCCCTGCAGGGTGTGACACACAAACCCAGGCAGATCAGGTCCACAGGCACAGACAGCCCAGGCCAGGCTCCAGCACTGAGCCATCCACCCTGGCGCTCACCACACCAATACAGCCCCCCATACCCAAAATTCAATTTTTGCTTAAATACAGACRGTGCAGGGCCTGGGACCTAAACCTAGAGCTATGTAGGGTGAGCCCCCACCACCATTTCTAGCTCCGGTGTGTCCAGTGGGTGCTTCGTGTTTAGGACTTGGGGCACCCAGCCCCACCAGACCAGGGCAGCAGGGGACTGGCACGAGATCAGGAGGGACACAGGTGAAGCTCACCCAGCTGGTGGTAGTTGGAGAGGCCAAATCCATAGATGTGTCCCTCACGCGTGACAGCAAAGGTGAAATACGCCCCGCAGAAAGCATCCTGGAAGCGCGTTTTGCCTCTTCTCCCTTTGCCTCTGACAGGGACAAGCTGGGGGACCAGCAGCCGCTCTGGGGGCAGGAGACAGAGTGTTACACATGGACTAAGCATTTACACCTTTTCCCTGCATCTAAGGAAATGGCTCACTGCATTCACATTACTGATTACCCACAAGCCCTTGAGCATCAGGGACTGGGTCCCTTCACTCCTCTGTGAAAGGCAGAACTAGAGCCAAAGGATGCAGCTCTGGGAACCAAATCCACTCACGTAGCCCCTTCCGTCCTCCACGGTTGGCAAAGAGTGCTGGCACTCTGCCCAGCTGGCCCTGTTCGCCACAACCACATGTGAACAGGTCACCATCCACTGTCAACATCACCAAGTGGTCATTCCCTGGAAGGGAAGGAAAGAAATCATGGAGAAGTCTTCAGCAAGCCCTAGGTGCTGAAAACCCCAGTTGTCCCAGCTTGTGGTGTTTACTGCACTGGGTATCTAAACACCAATTGTGGTACCACCTAAAACTCAAGGATCTCCTTCTTCCTGATCCCAGGAATTCAAACAGAATTCAAAGCAATTTTTCTGGGAAGGTAGGGCATAGGAGTGTCCCAACTTTCCCTGGGCCCTGGACAAGCTCCCTGGCTGTCTTCCCTGCTGTGCTCAAGCTCCCCAGGCCTCATTAGAGGACAACTGCTGTAGCCCCATTGGGGCACAGCTCAGGCCACTCTTAGAAGGAATTCCCCATCAGACTGGTCAAATATTAACTCTGTATGTGAGTCTGTTGAAATTCAAACATCTGTTTGGGCTAAAAGGTCTGCTCTCTGGAGAATCAGAGATGAGCAAGTACACCCTTGTACCAGCCCCAGAGCAAGCCAAAAGGGGGGAAAATGTCATGGACCTTCTGRATCTTCCCCAAGGGTTGCAACAGCCTCGTGGACCTGCCTGACCCTGCACACTCCAGGGCCCCGCTCACCTGAAACTATTTTAACAACAGGCACGTCGAGCTGGAGCAGCAAAGGAATGGAGCTTGTCTTCATAGGCTCCAGCAAGCCGATTACTCCATTGTTATCCTGAGTGGAGAGAGAGACCCAGGGATGTAAGGACAGGAGCAGTAGCCACCAGGGCAGCTCCCAGCATCAGAGATATCAGCATACCCGGAAGGAGCCCCAGACAAAGACCCTGCCGTCCTCGGTTAGCGCGGCCGTGTGGCTGTCCCCCGCCGACACCTGCACCACCTTCTCCTGCAGCTCCACCGGCCCCGGAGAGGTCTCAGATCCCTCAGCCGAGGTGTCCCGTCCGAGGGCACCTTCATCATTGCAGCCAAAGGTGTAGATCTGCAGATTGGGTGCAAGTGGTCAGGATAGGGCCCAGGGGGGAAACAGGCTAAGACAGGGGACAGAGACCCACTAGACTGAATTATCACAGAATCATGGAATGGTTTGGGTTGGAAAGGACCTTAAAGCTCATCCCATTCCAACCCCTGCCATGGGCAGGAACACCTTCCACTGGACCAGGCTGTTACAAGCCCTGGCCAACCAGGCACTGGACACTCACAGGGATGGGGCATCCACAGCTTCTSTGTGCCAGTGGCTCATCACCCTCACAGGGAAGAATTTCTTCCCAGTATCACATCTCAAATGGCACTGCCACCCATCTACTCTCTGCCAGTGGGAAGCCATTCCCCCTTATCCTGTCACTCCATGCGTTTGTCCCAAGTCCCTCTCCCATTCTCCTGCAGGCTCCATGCAGATTCTCCTTCTGACACCCTAAAAATTTGTGTTCTGTGTGAGAACACACTCACCCCTGGAGCTGGAACAAGATTTKGGCAGAGCAGTGGCCGATTCTGACCTCCTGCTTCAGAACACATCCCAGAATTCACTGTACTCACCTTTCCCGTCTGGCTGAGGCACACGGTGTGCATCCCTCCAGCTTCCACCTGCACCACCATCTCTGGCAGTGTGACCAGAGCTGGCTTCTTCCTCTCCATGATGTCCTCGCCCAGGCCTAGCTGGCCAACATTGCCCTGGCCCAGTGTCAGCACCAGCCCAGGCTGGGAGCGGTGCGATGGGTGGGTGACTGCAGGGTAGAAGGCAGAAAAAGAATGTGGAGTACAAGCTCGCTGGTACAAATCACCCCTGGGAAAGTAGAAGGAAAATTGCTTGCGATTTTTCTTACCTTTAATCTTCTTCCTCTCAGGAGACTCTTCTTCTGGCACCGGGTTCTTTGCACTGCGTTTCCCTGGCATCTTGGGACCTAGACGCCAAAAAGAGCCTGTCAGGAGTCACTCAGTAGGATGTCACTGTTTGGGGTGTTCCCTTGCACCTTAAAAAAACACCTGAGGGACTGAGTTGTGATTTGAACACCGATCCCTTCTCTCACACTGGGAAAATGGAAAGTTTTCCTTTGTGTGTTTTGTCCATACTCCCTACCTCATGCAGACATGAACCCCTCCAGATTTCAGGTCCACGCAGGCGAGGAGAGAGGGAAGGGAAAAAGGAAAATATGGAAGAGGGAAGGGAGAAAGGAAAGGGAAAAACCCAAGCCGAGCCGTGCCCGCGTCCCGCAYGGTGGAGAAGCCATCGCACTCCCCCGCCCCTTCCCGCCGTTCGAATTCCCCGCGCCGCCGCCTCACGTGGGGGCGCGCGGGCCGCTGCCCGGCCCGGCCGTTCTTCCCGCCGCCTGCACCTCTCCCCGCCAGCCGGTCGGCTGCGCCGAGGGCAGCCCGGGGCTCGCCGGGACCCCCGCGCCCGGGTCCGTGTCCCCGTGCCCATCCCCTGCCCGAGCGGAGCCCGCGGGCGATCTCCGGCCCGGCCCCGCCGCGCTCTCACCGCCCGCCAGCCCCGCCGCGCGGCCTCTGCGCATGCGCCCACACGCCAGCACGGCTCGGGGCTGCAGCGCCCCCTGGCGGGCGGCGGCCCTTCCCAGCAGCGACAGGGACAGGGGGACAGGGGGACAGGGGGACAGGGGGACAGAGGGACAGGGGGACAGGGGGACAGGGGGACAGGACAGGCACATCGGGAACAAGGACAGAGGGACAGGGGGACAGGGGGACAG